ACTATTGTTTGTACAGATGAATGTGGTACCTTCAGGCGTTTGGAAATTGCTCCCAAGGATGAACGAGACATGTGGAGGTCTACAATTTTTTTTCTGAAGTCTTGGCTGATTTCTTTTGATTTTCCCATGATGTCAAGCAAAGAGGCACTGAGTTTGAAGGTAGGCCTCCACATGTCCGCCAGGTACACCTCCAATTGACTCAAATTATGTCAATTAGCGTATCAGAACATTCTAAAGCCATGACATTATATTCTGGAATTTTCCAAGCTGTTTAAAGGCACAGTCAACTTAGTGTATGTAAACTTCTGACCCACTGAAATTGTGATACAGTGAATTATAAGTGAAATAATCTGTCTGTAAACAATTGTTGGAAAAATTACTTGTGTCATGCACAAAGTAGATGTCCTAACCGACTTGCCAAAACGATAGTTTGTTAACAAGAAATTTGTGGAGTGGTTGAATAACAAGTTTTAATGACTCCAACCTAAGTGTATGTAAACTTCTGACTTCAACTGTACATGAAGGCAGGGTAAAGTGACTACATTTTACATTTTAGTCATTTAGCAGACGCTCTTATCCAGAGCGACTACAAATTGGTGCATTCACCCTATAGCCAGTGGGATAACCACTTTACAATTATAATGTTTTTTTTTGTTTGTTTTTTTTTCGGGGGGGGGGGGGGGGGGGGGGGGGGGGGGGGGGGGGGGGGGGTAGAAGGATTACTTTATCCTATCCCAGGTGTCCCTTAAAGAGGTGGGGTTTCAAATGTCTCCGGAAGGTGGTGAGTGACTCCGCTGTCCTGGCGTCGTGAGGGAGCTTGTTCCACCATTGGGGTGCCAGAGCAGCGAACAGTTTTGACTGGGCTGAGCGGGAACTATGCTTCCGCAGAGGAAGGGGAGCCAGCAGGCCAGAGGTGGATGAACGCAATGCCCTCGTTTGGGTGTAGGGACTGATCAGAGCCTGAAGGTACGGAGGTGCCGTTCCCCTCACTGCTCCATAGGCAAGCACCATGGTCTTGTAACGGATGCGAGCTTCAACTGGAAGCCAGTGGAGTGTGCGGAGGAGGGGGGTGACGTGAGAGAACTTGGGAAGGTTGAACACCAGACGGGCTGAGGCATTCTGGATGAGTTGTAGGGGTTTAATGCCACAGGCAGGGAGCCCAGCCAACAGCGAGTTGCAGTAATTCAGACGGGAGATGACAAGTGCCTGGATTAGGACCTGTGCCGCTTCCTGTGTAAGAATGTTGTAGAGCATGAACCTGCAGGATCGGGTCACCACCTTGATGTTAGCGGAGAACGACAGGGTGTTGTCCAGGGTCACGCCAAGGCTCTTCGCACTCTGGGAGGAGGAACACAACGGAGTTGTCAACCGTGATGGCGAGATCTTGGAACGGGCAGTCCTTCCCCGGGAGGAAGAGCAGCTCCGTCTTGCCAGGGTTCAGCTTGAGGTGGTGATCCGTCATTCATACTGATATGTCGGCCAGACATGCAGAGATGCGATTCGCCACCTGGTTATCAGAAGGGTGAAAGGAGAAGATTAGTTGTGTATCGTCAGCGTAGCAATGATAGGAGAGGCCATGTGAGGATATGACAGAGCCAAGTGACTTGGTGTATAGGGAGAAAAGGAGAGGGCCTAGAACTGAGCCCTGGGGGACACCAGTGGTGAGAGCACGTGGTGCGGAGACAGCTTCTCGCCACGCCACTTGGTAGGAGCGACCGGTCAGGTAGGACGCAATCCAGGAGTGAGCCGCGCCAGAGATGCCCAGCTCGGAGAGGGTGGAGAGGAGGATCTGATGGTTCACTGTATCAAAGGCAGCAGACAGGTCTAGAAGGACAAGAGCAGAGGAGAGAGAGTTAGCTTTAGCAGTGCGGAGAGCCTCCGTGACACAGAGAAGAGCAGTCTCAGTTGAATGACCAGTCCTGAAACCTGACTGGTTTGGATCAAGAAGGTCATTCTGGAAGAGATAGCAAGAGAGTTGGCTAAAGACGGCACGCTCAATAGTTTTGGAAAGAAAAGAAAGAAGGGATACTGGTCTGTAGTTGTTGACATCAGTGGGATCGAGTGTTGTTTTTTTGAGAAGGGGTGCAACTCTCGCTCTCTTGAAGACGGAAGGGACATGGCCAGCGGTCAAGGATGAGTTGATCAGCGAGGTGAGGTAGGGGAGAAGGTCACCGGAGATGGTCTGGAGAAGAGAGGAGGGGATGGGGTCAAGCGGGCAGGTTGTTGGGCGGCCTGCAGTCACTAGTCGCAAGATTTTATCTGGAGAGAGAGGGGAGAAAGAAGTCAAAGCATTGGGTAGGGCAGTGTGAGCAGGACCAGCAGTGTCATTAGACTTAACAAACGAGGATCGGATGTCGTCAACCTTCTTTTCAAAGTGATTGACGAAGTCATCCACAGAGAGGGAGGGGAGGGGGGGGGGGGGGGGGGGGGAGGATTCAGGAGGGAGGAAAATGTGGCAAAGAGCTTCCTAGGGTTAGAGGCAGATGCTTGGAATTTAGAGTGGTAGAAAGTGGCCTTAGCAGCAGAAAACAGATTGAAGAAAATGTAGAGAGGAGGGAGTGAAAAGATGCCAGGTCGGCAGAGAGTTTAGTTTTCTTCCATTTCCGCTCAGCTGCCGGAGCTCTGTTTCTGTGAGCTCGCAATGAGTCATCAAGCCACGGAGCTGGAGGGGAGGACCGAGCCGGCCGGGAGGATAGGGGACACAGGGAGTCAAAGGATGCAGAAAGGGAGGAGAGGAGGGTTGAGGAGGCAGAATCAGGAGATTGGAGGGAGAAGGATTGAGCAGAGGGAAGAGATGATAGGATGGAAGAGGAGAGAGTAGTGGGAGAGAGAGAGCGAAGGTTGCGGCGGCGCGTTACCATCTGTGTAGGGGCAGAGTGAGTAGTGTTGGAGGCGAGCGAGAGAGAAAAGGATACAAAGTAGTGGTCGGAGACATGGAGGGGAGTTGCAGTGAGATTAGTAGAAGAGCAACATCTAGTAAAGATGAAGTCAAGCGTATTGCTGCCTTGTGAGTGGGGGGGATGGTGAGAGGGTGAGGTCAAAAGAGGAGAGGAGTGGAAAGAAGGAGGCAGAGAGAAATTAGTCAAATGTAGACGTAGGGAGGTTGAAATCCCCCAAAACTGTGAAGGGTGAGCCATCCTCAGGAAAGGAACTTATCAAGGCGTCAAGCTCATTGATGAACTCTCCAAGGGAACCTGGACGGCGATAGATGACAAGGATATTAAGCTTAAATGGGCTAGTGACTGTGACAGCGTGGAATTCAAATGAGGAGATAGACAGATGGGTTAGGGGTAAAATTGAGAATGACCACTTGGGAGAGATGAGGATTCCTGTGCCACCACCCCCTCTGACCAGATGCTCTCGGGGTATGCGAGGCCACTCCAGACGAGGAGAGAGCAGTAGGAGTAGCAGTGTTTTCAGTGGTAATCCATGTTTCCGTCAGCGCCAGGAAGTCGAGGGACTGGAGGTTAGCATAGGCTGGGATGAAGTCAGCCTTGTTGGCGGCAGAACAGCAGAACGGCAGTTCCAGAGGCTGCCTGAGACCTGGAACTCCAGGTGTGTGGTGCGTGCAGGGACCACCAGGGTTAGAGAGGCAGCAGCCACGCGGTGTGGGGCGTTTGTGTAGCCTGTGCGGAGAGGAGAGAACAGGGATAGCAGAGGCATAGTTGACAGGCTGCAGCAGATGGCTACAATAATGCAGAGGAGATCGGAATGAAATGAACTAAACATCTGGGAAAGGAGAGAGCAGGCCTCCCTCACCAAAAAAAATATATAACTCTCCCAACTTCCACCTCAGAAACTATAATTGTTTCACTGAACCACCCGAATAAAACTCTCTCAACTTCCACTTTAGAAATTAGAATTGTTGTAAACTACAGCAGACTGTTATCAGTAGCTGTAATTAAGTACAGCAGCTACCAACCACCTAACGTTAATGATAATGAGGTTAGAAAAACAGATGAATGGTGGCAGCTAGCTGGCTTAATCACAGGTACTCTTAAGCATGAAATAACATTGGAAACAACTAACCACAGTTGCTAAAAGTTACCAGTAGCTACCCGCTAGCTAGCTAGGCATCAGGATAGATAATAATAAGGTATTTGAGGTAGATATTACTGAAGGCAGGGGAAATGACTAGGCTCAGGATGATAATAATAAAAGGGATTTTTAGGTAAAAGACATGAAGGCAGGGTCAAGTGATAGGCATCGGAAATAATAATAAGGTATTTAGGGTAAAATTACAGAAGGAGGGTAAAGTGACTAGGATCAGGATGATAAAAAAAGGATTTGAGGTGATTGTACTGAAGCCGGTAAAAGGGAAAGGGACAGATAGATTTAATAATAAGGGGATTTGAGGTAGTATGTACATGAAGGCAGGGTTTTAAAATGACAGGCATCAGGGTAGATAATAATAAGGTATTTTGGGGAGATAGTACTAGGCAGGGTCAAGTGCAGGATCGGATAATAATAATAAAGGGATTTGAGGTAGATATGTACATGAAGGCAGGGTAAGTGACAGGGATAGGGGTAGATTAATAAGGTATTTGAGGGGAATATGTACATGAAGGCAGGGGAAAAATGACTAGAATCAATAAAAGATAATATAAAAATTTTAGGTAGATTGTACATGAAAAGGGGGGAAAATGAATAGGCATAGGGTAGTAATAAAAGGTATTTAGGTAGATAGTAAAAGAAGGCAGGGTAAGTGATAGGGATCAGGGGTAGTAATTAAGGTTTTTAGGTAATATGTACAAAGGGAAAGGGGGCAAGTATTAGGGATAATGATAATAAAAAGGTATTGAGGGGGTAGATAGTACATAAGGCAGGGGTTTTAAAATCTAGGATCAGGAAGATAAAAAAGGATTTTAGGTGATATTTAATGAAGGCAGGGGCAAGTGCTAGGCATCAGGTAGATAATAAAAGGTATTTGAGGTAGATATGTACTGAAGGGGGGTAAAAGGGCAGGCTCAGATAGATAATAATAAGGTATTTGAGGTAGAATGTACATGAAGGCCGGGTTTGATAGGCATCAGGGTAGAAAAATAAAGGGTTTTTAGGTAATATGACAGAAGGCAGGGGGCAAGGACTAGGGATAGGATAGAAAAAATAAAGGATTTGAGGTAGATCTGTACATGAAGGCGGGTAAAGTGATTAGGCATCAGGATAAGATATAAATAAGGTATTTGAGGTAGATATGTAATGAAGGCAGGGTAAAGTGACTAGGCATCGGATAATAATAATAAGGTATTTGAGGTAGATATGGACATGACGGCAGGGTCAAGTGATAGGCATTCAGGATAGATAATTAATAAGGTATTTGAGGTTTGAGGTAGATTGTACTGAGGACGGTCAAGTGATTAGGCTAAGGGATAGATAAATAAGTTATTTGAGGGTAGATAGGTAGATATGTACATGAAGGAGGGTTTAAAGTGCCTAGGGCTCAGGTTAGATAATAATCAGGTTATTTGAGGGTAGATATTGTACTGAAGGCCAGGGTCCAAGTGACTAGGCATCAGGATTAGATAATAATAAGGTATTTGAGGTAGATATGTACATTGAAGGCAGGGTCAAAGTGACTAGGCATCAGGATAGATATAATAAGGTATTTGAGGTAGATATGTACATGAAGGCAGGGTAAAGTGACTAGGCATCAGGATAGATAATAATAAGGTATTTGAGGAGATATGTCTGAAGGCAGGGTCAAGTGACTAGGCTCAGGATAATAATATAAGGGGATTTGGGGGTAAATTTTACATGAAGGCAGGGTCAAGTGATTAGGCTCAGGGTAGAAATAATAAGGGGGTTTGAGGTAGATATGTACATGAAGGCAGGGTAAAGTGACTAGGCATCAGGAAGATAATAATAAGGATTTGAGGGGAGATATTTTCATGAAGGGAGGGGCAAATGACTGGATCAGGATAGATAATAATAAGGGATTTTTAGGGAGATATGTACATGAAGGCAGGGGGAAATTTTTAGGCATCGGATAATAATAATAAGGTATTTAGGTAGATTTAATGAAGGCAGGGGGAAAATGACTCGGCATCGGGGGAGATAATAATAAGGTATTGAGGTAGATATGTACATGAAGGCAGGGTAAAGTGACTAGGCATCAGGATAGATAATAATAAGGTATTTGAGGTAGATATGTACATGAAGGCAGGGTAAAGTGACTCGGCATCAGGATAGATAATAATAAGAGTAAAATAAAGAACAGAGTAGCAGCAGGAAATGATGAGTGTAAAAGTGTGTGTGTGTAATGTGTACTGTTTGTGTGTTTGTCTTGTGTCGTCTGCGTGTGTGTGGGTGTATGTATGTGAATGAGTGTGGGTTATGTGTGGTAGTGTCAATGTAGTCTGTGTGAGTGTGTATATAGTGTGTATATATAGTCCAGTGAGTGTGTATATAGTCAATCAAAATGTATTTATAAAGCCCTTTTTACATCAGCAGATGTCACAAAGTGCTATACAGAAACCCAGCCTAAAACCCCAAACAGCAAGCAATGCAGATGTAGAAGCACGGTGGCTAGGAAAAACTCCCTAGAAAGGCAGGAACCTAGGAAGAAACCTAGAGAGGAACCAGGCTCTGAGGGGTGGCCAGTCCCCTTCTGGCTGTGCCGGGTGGAGATTATAACAGTACATGGCCATTAAGGCCAGATTTTTCTCCAAGATGTTCAAACGTTCATAGATGACCAGCAGGGTCAAATAATAATCACAGTGGTTGTAGAGGGTGCAACAGGTCAGCACCTCAGGAGTAAATGTCACTTGGCTTTTCATAGCCGGGCGTTTAGAGGTTGAAATAGCAGGTGTGGTAGAGAGAGAGAGAGTTGAAAACAGCAGGTCTGGGACAAGGTAGCACGTCCGGTGAACAGGTCAGGGTTCCATAGCTGCAGGCAGAACAGTTGAAACTGGAGCAGCAGCACGACCAGGTGGACTGGGGACAGCAAGGAGTCATCAGGCCAGGTAGTCCTGAGGCATGATCCTAGGGCTCAGGTCCTCCAGGAGGGGAGGGAGAGAGGGAGAGAGAGAGAATTAGAGGGAGCATACTTAAATTCACACAGGACACCAGATAAGACAGGAAAATAACACCAGATATAACAGACTGACCCTAGCCCCCCGGCACATAGACTATTGCAGCATAGATACTGGAGGCTGAGACAGGGGGGGTCGGGAGACACTGTGGCCCCGTCCGACGATACCCCCAGACAGGGCCAACCAGGCAGGATTTAACCCCACCCACTTTGCCAAAGCACAGCCCCCACACCACCAGAGGGATATCAACAGACCACCAACCTACTACCTTGAGACAAGGCTGAGTATAGCCCACAAAGATCTCCTCCACCGCACCACTAGAGGGAGCTACACACTATATATAGTGTGGATATATAGTCTAGTGAGTGTGTATATAGTGTGGATATATAGTCTAGTGAGTGTGTTACTGTGGTGATGGTGTTCTTGGGGTGATGAGAGGTGTTGGGTTTGAGCCAGACATAGCGTTTTCCTTGATGGCCAAAAAGCTCAATTTTAGTCTCATCTGACCAGACTAACTTCTTCCATATGTTTGGGGAGTCTCCCACTTGCCTTTTGGCAAACACCAAACGTGTTCGCTTATTTTTTTCTTTAAGCAATAGCTTTTTTCTAGCCACTCTTCCGTAAAGCCCAGCTCTGTGAAGTGTACAGCTTAAAGTGGTCCTATGGACAGATACTCCAATCTCCACTTTGGAGCTTTGCAGCTCCTTCAGGGTTATCTTTGGTCTCTTTGTTGCCTCTCTGATTAATGCCCTCCTTGCCTGGTCCGTGGGTTTTGGTGGGCGGCCCTCTCTTGGCAGGTTTGTTGTGGTGCCATGTTCTTTCCATTTTTTTATAATCGATTTAATGGTGCTCCGTGGGATGTTCAAAGTTTTGGATATTTTTTTATAACCCAACCCTGATCTGTGCTTCTCCACAACTTTGTCCCTGACCTGTTTGGAGAGCTCCTTGGTCTTCATGGTGCCGCTTGCTTGGTTGTGCCCCTTGCTTAGTGGTGTTGCAGACTCTGGGGCCTTTCAGAACAGGTGTATATATACTGAGATCATGTGACAGATCATGCAACACTTACATTGCACACAGGTGGACTTTATTTAACTAATTATGTGACTTCTGAAGGTAATTGGTTGCACCAGATCTTATTTAGGGGCTTCATAGCAAAGGGGGTGAATACATATGCACGCACCACTTTTCTGTTATTTATAATTTATACTTTTTTGAAACAAGTTATTTACATGAAATCCAAATATAAATCCATTTAAATTACAGGTTGCAATGCAACAAAAACACCAAGGGGGATGAATACTTTTGCAAGGCACTGTATGGTACACTCCATCCAACGGTTTTGTCACGCCCTGGCTCTGGGGACACTGTTATGTTGAGCCAGGGTGTGTAATTCTATGTTTGTATTTCTATGTTGGCCTGAGTGACTCCCAATCAGAGGCAACGAGTGTCAGCTGGTTGTCTCTGATTGGGAGCCATATTTAACTGTCTGTCTTTCACTTTGTGTTTGTGGTTTCTTGTTCTCATTTTGGTTTGTGTATGTAACCAGAGACATCACGTTTTCGTCAGTTATTTTGATCGGGTGATCAGTCTAATAAATACTATGTTCACTTTCAACGCTGCGCCTTGGTCCTCCTCATTAGACGATCGTGACAGAAGAAACCACCAAGATGTGACCAAGCAGCGTGTCCAGGAGCCATCGCCAGGGAGATCCCTAACAGATCTCCTTCGCCTCCTCGACTGGGTCAAGCCGAGTGAGGAAGAGAAGGGCTTGACGTTGTGGCAGAAGGGCGAAAGGCTGGCGAGGGACATGGAGACCTGGTCCACGGGTAGGAGAAACGCCCAGAAAATTTCTAGGGGGGGGCTAACGCTGTGGACGACGGGCCAGCAGGAGACCGCAGCAGAGCGGCCCAGCGGATTGGCAGAGGAGGCCGCCAGGTTACGGGGGCCACTGGTCGAAGAGGGGGTGGAAGATGTAGAGGCACGGCGAGAGGTACTGGCGTGTGTTGCCAGTCCGGTCCGGCCTGTTCCTGATCCCCACGTAGGGCCAGTGGTGTGTGTTTCCAGTACGGTCCGGCCTGTTCCTGCTACTCCCACCAAGTCGGTGGTGCGCGTCGCCAGCCCTGTCCGGCCCGTTCTTGCTCTCCGCACCAAGTCTGTGGTGTGCGTCGCCAGCCCAGTCCGGCCCATTCCTGCTCCCCGCATCAAGTCTGTGGTGCGTTTCGTCAGTCCTGTCCGGCCCGTTCCTGCTCTCCGCACCAAGTCGGTGGTGCGCGTCGCCAGCCCAGTCCGGCCCATCCAAGCTCCCTGCACCAAGTCAGTGGTGCGCGTCGTCAGCCCGGTCCGGCTCATTCCTGCTCCCCACACCAAGCCAGTGGTGTGCGTCGTCAGTCCAGCACGGCCCGTGCCTGTTCCCCACACCAAGCCAGTGGTGTGCGTCGTCGGTCCGGCACGGCCCGTGCTTGTTCCACTTGTGCCTGGTCCGGCACCGGTCAGAGTTGTTACGCCGGAGCTAGAGCAATCCGCTCCATCAGTGTGCAGTCCAGCTCTGGCCAGCGGGGCCAGACCGGACCAGGGATACTTTGGGGGGTTGGAGAGGGAGTGGGGATCAGGCCCGGAGCCGGATCCGCCGCCAAGGCGGAGTGCCCACCCGGTCCCTCCCCTGTGGTATTTAGTTGGCGCGGTCGGAGTCCGCGCCTTTAGGGGGGGGTACTGTCACGCCCTGGCTCTGGGGACACTGTTATGTTGAGCCAGGGTGTGTAATTCTATGTTTGTATTTCTATGTTGGCCTGAGTGACTCCCAATCAGAGGCAACGAGTGTCAGCTGGTTGTCTCTGATTGGGAGCCATATTTAACTGTCTGTCTTTCACTTTGTGTTTGTGGTTTCTTGTTCTCATTTTGGTTTGTGTATGTAACCAGAGACATCACGTTTTCGTCAGTTATTTTGATCGGGTGATCAGTCTAATAAATACTATGTTCACTTTCAACGCTGCGCCTTGGTCCTCCTCATTAGACGATCGTGACAGGTTTTAGAGTACTGCTGCATTCTGGTAAATGATGTCACCAAAGTCAAGAACTGGAAGGAAAGCTGACTACAATCTGCTTCCTGCTGTTCAGGGAGAAGCATCAATCTGCTTCCTGCTGTTTAGGGAGAAGCATCAATCTGCTTCCTGCTGTTCAGGGAGAAGCATCAATCTGCTTCCTGCTGTTTAGGGAGAAGCATCAATCTGCTTCCTGCTGTTTAGGGAGAAGCATCAATCTGCTTCCTGCTGTTTAGGGAGAAGCATCAATCTGCTTCCTGCTGTTTAGGGAGAAGCATGAAGCCTACTTTAAATCTTGGCTCTTTATGGTTTTTAAAAGTCAAATTATTGTCAATCCAAAAGCCCTGATATTTATAGGTGGGAACCTGCTCAATGAAAGAACCATAGAATGCATAAATATGTAATACATATGAAGATATATTTATAATATTTATAATATTTATATTATATAAATATTAAATATTTCTATGAGAATTAGAAAACAGCATACATTTAGTTTTTCCCGCATTAAGTACCAATTTTAAATCAACAAGGACTTTCTGCAAGGCAACAAAATCAGACCACAGCTCTAGCATAGCCTTGGCAATAGAGTACATTACATTTACATTTTTTAATTTTTAGCAGACGCTTTTATCCAGAGCGATTAACAGTTAGTGAGTGCATACATTATTTTTTATACTGGCCCCCCGTGGGAATCAAACCCACAACCCTGGCGTTGCAAACGCCATGCTCTACCAACTGAGCTACATCCCTGCCGGCCATTCCCTCCCCTACCCTGGACCAATTGTGCACCGCCCCATGGGTCTCCCGGTCGCGGCCGGCTACGACAGAGCCTGGATTCGAACCAGGATCTCTAGTGGCACAGCTAGCACTGCGATGCAGCGCCTTAGACCACTGCGCCACTCAGGAGACAGATGGATGAATCAGGTTTTTGTAGATCTACCAATATTATTTATATAAACAGTAAAGAGGACAGGTCCCAAAATCGACCCCTGCGGGACACTTTTAGTAATATTGAGGTAACTTGACTTGACACCATCATAAAGCACACATTGTGTCCTGTCTGACAGTTAGTTCCCAAAAACGCCTGGTAGAGGCCCATTTCAGACAACTTTATCTGGGATTGATTGAGCTTGCCTTGCTTAATGAACCAATAGAGGAGTTGCAAAACTGCAAACCCCACCCATCTGACACTACAGTGTGGTTTAGGCAAACACTAAAAGTATTTGAAGGAATTCTAAAAGTATTTGAAGGAATTCTAAAAGTATTTGAAGGAATTCTAAAAGTATTTGAAGGAATTCTAAAAGTATTTGAACACAGGTGTGTTCAGATAGTACAGGCTGTAGGTCTCTGAGACTTCATGGCCAGAACAGACAGAAACAGCTGGGATAGAGCAGTGTGAAGGGACAGACACTTAGGGGCCAGAACAGACAGAAACAGCTGGGATAGAGCAGTGTGAAGGGACAGACACTTAGGGGCCAGAACAGACAGAAACAGCTGGGATAGAGCAGTGTGAAGGGACAGACACTTAGGGGCCAGAAACAGACAGAAACAGCTGGGATAGAGCAGTGTGAAGGGACAGACACTTAGGGGCCAGAAACAGACAGAAACAGCTGGGATAGAGCAGTGTGAAGGGACAGACCCTTAGGGGCCAGAACAGACAGAAACAGCTGGGATAGAGCAGTGTGGAGGGACAGACACTTAGGGGCCAGAAACAGACATTTACATTTTAGTCATTTAGCAGACGTTCTTATCCAGAGCAACTTACAGTTAGTAAGTGCATACATTATTTTTATTTTTTTCCATACTGGCCCCCCGTGGGAATCGAACCCACAACCCTGGCGTTGCAAACGCCATGCTCTACCAACTGAGCTACATCCCTGCCGGCCATTCCCTCCCCTACCCTGGACGACGCTGGGCCAACTGTGCGCTGCCCCATGGGTCTCCCGGTCGCGGCCGGCTACGACTGAGCCTGGATTCGAACCAGGATCTCTAGTCCCTCGGGAGGTAAGACAGCTGGGATAGTGCTGTTTGGAGGGACAGGGACAGACAGTCAGCAGGGCTCTGAGACTTATGGGCCAGAAACAGACTCCTGAACAGACAGGATGTATTGCTCTGAGGGAGGGGGTATATAGAGAAGACTGGGGAGGGGATATATAGAGAGGACTGGGGAGGGGATATATAGAGAGGACTGGGGAGGGGATATATAGAGAGGACTGGGGAGGGGATATATAGAGAGGACTGGGAGGGGATATATAGAGAGGACTGGGGAGGGGATATATAGAGAGACTGGGGAGGGGATATATAGAGAGGACTGGGTGAGGGGATATATAGAGAGGACTGGGGAGGGGATATATATAGAGGACTGGGGAGGGGATATATATAGAGGACTGGGGGGGGATATATAGAGAGGACTGGGGAGGGGATATTATGAGGACTGGGGAGGGGATATATATAGAGGACTGGGGAGGGATAGAGGGACTGGGGAGGGATAGAGGGACTGGGGAGGGATAGAGGGACTGGGGAGGGATATATAGAGAGATGGGGAGGGGATATATAGAGGACTGGGGAGGGGATATATATAGAGGACTGGGAGGGGATCTATATAGAGGACTGGGGAGGGGATATATAGAGAGGACTGGGGGAGGATTATATAGATGTACGTGGGATGTGAGATATAATAGAGGACTGTGGAGGGGATATAAGCGAGACTGGGGAGGGTATATATAGAGAAGGACTGGGGAGGGGACTATATAGAGAGGACTGGGGAATGGGATATATAGAGAGACTTTGGGGAGGGGATATATAGAAGGACTGGGGACATGGAAAGAGAGTACTGGGAGGGGTATATAAGAGGACTGGGACCTGGGAAAGAGGCTGGGAGGGATTATACGAGACTGGGGAGGGGGGATAGAGAGAGACTGGGGGGGGGGGATAGAGAGGTGGAGGGACATATAGAGAGGACTGCGGAGGGGAGTGTAAAGAGGGAGGTGATATATGAGAGGACTGCTGGAGGGGAGGTATAGAGAGGGAGGGGATATTAGAAGGACTGGGGAGAGTGGATGCTATAGATAGGACGGTGGAGGGGGATATCATAGAGGAGGACTGAGGAGAGGACATATAGAGAAGACTGGTGAGTTGATATATAGAGAGGACTGGGAACGGGATATATAGAGAGGACTGGGGAGTTGATATATATAGAGGACTGGGGAGGGGATATATAGAGAGGACTGGGGAGGGGATATATATAGAGGACTGGGGAGGGGATATATATAGAGGACTGGGGAGGGGATATATAGAGAGGACTGGGGAGGGGATATATAGAGAGGACTGGGGAGGGGATATATAGAGAGGACTGGGGAGGGGATATATAGAGAGGACTGGGGAGGGGATATATAGAGAGGACTGGGGACATGGGAAAGAGAGGACTGGGGAGGGGATATATAGAGAGGACTGGGGACATGGGAAAGAGAGGCCTGGGGAGGGGATATATAGCGAGGACTGGGGAGGGGGGATAGAGAGAGGACTGGGGAGGGGGGATAGAGAGGGGAGGGGACATATAGAGAGGACTGCGGAGGGGAGGTAAAGAGGGGAGGGGATATATAGAGAGGACTGCGGAGGGGAGGTAGAGAGGGGAGGGGATATATAGAGAGGACTGGGGAGGGGATATATAGAGAGGACTGTGGAGGGGATATATAGAGAGGACTGAGGAGAGGACATATAGAGAAGACTGGGGAGTTGATATATAGAGAGGACTGGGAACGGGATATATAGAGAGGACTGGGGAGTTGATATATATAGAGGACTGGGGAGGGGATATATAGAGAGGACTGGGGAGGGGATATATAGAGAGGACTGGGAAGGGGATATATAGAGAGGACTAGGGAGGGGATATATAGAGAGGACTGGGGAGGGGATATATAGAGAGGACTGGGGAGGGGATATATAGAGAGGACTGGGGAGGGGATATATAGAGAGGACTGGGGAGGGGATATATAGAGAGGACTGGGGAGGGGATATAGAGAGAGGACTGGGGAGGGGATATATAGAGAGGACTGGGGAGGTGATATAGAGAGAGGACTGGGATCGGGATATATAGAGAGGTCTGGGGAGGGGAGGTGGGGAGGGGATATATAGAGAGGACTGGGGAGGTGAATAAAGGGGGGTGGGGATATATAGAGTGAGGACTAGGGAGGGGGGATAGAGGGATTGGGAAGGAAAATAAACCCTGGCAGACAGAAAGGAAAACAATACTGCTGGATGAACGACTTATGAGGGGAGAAGAAGGTGAGGAGTGATAGTGGAGTCCAGTAGTCAGTATTCACTGTGTTGTAGTCAGTATTCACTGTACCCTGTGTTGTAGTCAGTATTCACTGTGTTGTAGTCAGTATTCACTGTGTTGTAGTCAGTATTCACTGTACCCTGTGTTGTAGTCAGTATTCATTGTACCCTGTGTAGTAGTCAGTATTCATTGTACCCTGTGTAGTAGTCAGCATTCACTGTAACCTGTGTTGCAGTCAGTATTCACTGTACCCTGTGTATTAGTCAGTATTCACTGTATCCTGAGTTGTAGTCAGTATTCACTGTACCCTGTGTAGTAGTCAGTATTCACTGTACCCTGTGTAGTAGTCAGTATTCATTGTACCCTGTGTAGTAGTCAGTATTCACTGTACCCTGTGTAGTAGTCAGTATTCACTGTACCCTGTGTAATAGTCAGTATTCACTGTATCCTGAGTTGTAGTCAGTATTCACTGTACCCTGTGTAGTAGTCAGTATTCACTGTACCCTGTGTAGTAGTCAGTATTCAATGTATCCTGTGTTGCAGTCAGTATTCACTCTACCATGTTGTAGTCAGTATTCACTGTGTTGTAGTCAGTATTCACTGTACCCTGTGTTGTATTCAGTATTCACTGTAACTTGTTGTAGTCAGTATTCACTGTTGTAGTCAGAATTCACTGTGTAGTAGTCGATATTCACTGTGCCCTGTGTAGTAGTCAGTATTCATTGTACCCTGTTGTAGTCAGTATTCACTATGTTGTGGTCAATATTCACTGTACCCTGTGTTGCAGTCAGTATCGACTGTGTTGTAGTCAGTATTCACTGTGCCGTGTAGTAGTCATTATTAACTGTACCCTGTGTAGTAGCCAGTATTCATTGTACACTGTGCAGTAGTCAGCATTCACTGTATCCTGTGTAGCCAGTATTCACTGTATCCTGTGTTGTCAGTATTCACTGTACCCTGTGTTGTAGTCAGTATTGACTGTATTGTAGTCAGTATTCACTGTACCCTGTGTTACAGTCAGTATTCACTGTACCCTGTGTAGTAGTCAGTATTCACTGTACCCTGTGTAATAGTCAGTATTCACTGTATCCTGAGTTGAAGTCAGTATTCACTGTACCCTGTGTTGAAGTCAGTATTCACTGTACCCTGTGTAGTAGTCAGTATTCACTGCACCCTGTGTAGTAGTCAGTATTCACTCTACCCTGTGTTGTAGTCCGAATTCAGTTTTGTAACCAGTATTCACTGTGTTGTAGTCAGTATTCACTGTACCCTGTGTTGTAGTCAATATTCACTGTACCCTGTATTGTAGTCAGTATTAACTGTGCAGTAAAGTATTCACTGTACCCGTGGTCCTCTGTAGCTCAATTGGTAGAGCATGGCGCTTGTAACGCCAGGGTAGTGGGTTCGATCCCCGGGACCACCCATATGTAAACATGTATGCACACATGACTAAGTCGCTTTGGATAAAAGCGTCTGCTAAATGGCATATTATTATCTTTGTTGTAGTCAATATTCACTGTACCCTGTGTTGTAGTCAGTATTCACTGTACCGTGTTGTCAGTATTCCCTGTTGTATTCAGTATTCACTGTACCCTGTGTTGTAGTCAGTATTCATTGTACCATGTGTTGTAGTCAGTATTCATTGTACCCTGTGTAGTAGTCAGTATTCACTTTACCCTGTTGTAGTCAGTATTCACTTTACCCTGTTGTAGTCAGTATTCACTTTACCCTGTTGTATTCAGTATTCACTGTACCCTGTGTTGTAGTCAGTATTCATTGTACCCTGTTGTAGTCAGTATTGACTGTGTTGCAGTCAGTATTTACTGTGTTGTAGTCAGTATACCCTGTGTTGTAGTCAGTATTTACTGTACCCTGTGTTGTAGTCAGTATTCACTGTGTTGTAGTCATTATTAACTGTACCCTGTGTTGTAGTCAGTATGGCCACTATTCACTGTACCATGTTGTGGCCAGTATTCACTGTACCGTGTTGTAGTCAGTATGGCCACTATTCACTGTACCATGTTGTGGCCAGTATTCACTGTACCGTGTTGTAGTCAGTATGGCCACTATTCACTGTACCATGTTGTGGCCAGTATTCACTGTACCGTGTTGTAGTCAGTTTTGACTAGGTTGTAGTCAGTATTCACTGGGTTGTAGTCCGTATTCACTGTACCATGTTGTGGCCAGTATTCACTGTACCCTGTGTTGTAGTCAGTATTGACTGTGTTGTAGTCAGTATTCACTGGGTTGTGGTCAGTATTGACTGGGTTGTAGTCCGCAGTCACGGTCCCCTGTGTTGTAGTCCGCAGTCACTGCACCCTGTGTTGTAGTCCGCATTGCCTGTGCTTTAGTCCGTAGTCACTGTAACCTGTGCTGTAGTCCGTATTGACTGCGTTGTGGCCAGTATTCACTGTACCCTGTGTTGTAGTCAGTATTGGCTGTGTTGTAGTCAGTATTCACCAGGTTGTGGTCAGCATTGGCTGGGTCGTAGTCCGTAGTCACTGCCCCCGAGTTGTAGTCCGTAGTCACAGCACCCTGTGCTGTGGTCCGTATTGACTGCGTTGCAGCCAGTATCGACTGTGTTGTAGTCCGTAGTCACGGCACCCTGCGTTGTAGTCAGTATTGACTGGGTTATAGTCCGTAGCCACTGTACCCGGTGTTGTGACCAGCATTTACTAGGTTGTAGTCCGTAGTCACTGTACCCTGTGTTGTGACCAGTATTGACCAGGTAGTAGTCCGCAGTCACTGTACCCTGTGTTGTAGTCCGTATTGACTGCGTTGCCGCCAGTATCGACTGTGTTGTAGTCAGTAGTCACGGCACCCTGCGTTGTAGTCAGTATTGACTGGGTTGTAGTCCGTAGCCACTGTACCCTGTGTTGTGACCAGCATTTACTAGGTTGTAGTCCGCAGTCACTGTACCCTGTGTTGTGACCAGTATTGACCAGGTAGTAGTCCGCAGTCACTGTACCCTGTGTTGTAGTCCGTATTGAATGCGTTGTAGTCCGTAGTCACTGTACCCTGTGTTGTGACCAGCATTTACTAGGTTGTAGTTCGTAGTCACTGTACCCTGTGTTGTGACCAGTATTGACCAGGTAGTAGTCCGTAGTCACTGCACCCTGTGTTGTGACCAGTATTGACTAGGCTGTAGTCCGTAGTCACGGTACCCGGTGTTGTAGCCCGTATTGACTGTGTTGTAGTCCGTAGTCACTGTACCCTGTGTTGTAGTCCGTGAAAGAAACACCACAAAAACAAAGAGGTGGTCACCCTTTTGGTCACTTTATTAAATGTTATTTTAAATACTTAAAGATAGTAGCGGTTCAGATTAATCAATGAATGGCAAAAAAAGACAAGTTGGTATATTTGCTAAACATGAGAAGAACAGAGTGGGAGGGCGACAGAGTACATTTCAGAAATACACATTGTGCAAATGGAGGAACTCTCTCCTGTCGATCAGGTCAGACAGTCATCACTTCCTCCTCTTAACAGCTACAACACTTCAACTTTTATTTAGGAGCAGAAACATGTGCCTTAGTAGAGAACAGGTAGCCTGGGTGCCTCCTATAGTAGAGAACAGGTAGCCTGGGTGCCTCCTATAGTAGAGAACAGGTAGCCTGGGTGCCTCCTATAGTAGAGAACAGATAGCCTGGGTGCCTACTATAGTAGAGAACAGATAGCCTGGGTGCCTCCTATAGTAGAGAACAGGTAGCCTGGGTGCCTCCTATAGTAGAGAACAGGTAGCCTGGGTGCCTACTATAGTAGAGAACAGATAGCCTGGGTGCCTCCTATAGTAGAGAACAGATAGCCTGGGTGCCTACTATAGTAGAGAACAGATAGCCTGGGTGCCTACTATAGTAGAGAACAGGTAGCCTGGGTGGAGAACTAGGATAGGCCTGGGTGGAGAACTAGGATAGGCCTGGGTGGAGAACTAGGATAGGCCTGGGTCGTGTTCATTAAAGCAATGGACAAGTAAAACCAGCGTTTCATATTGGACAAGTTCAGCTAAATCCCTCCATGTTTGTCAGTTTTCTTCCGTTTGTTGCCTAATGAACACGACCCTGTCCTCACAGCAGGTTAGGAGAGCGTTTTTCCTAACCTTAACCTCAGTCTCCTAACCTGCTATGTTAATTCTTCTAACCTGCTACGAAAAGTCATTTCAGTTTCGAAGCAGCATGAAAAGTGAGTTTCCAGCTCATCAAGCACGGTCATCAAGCACTGCTAGCCAGTTAACCCAGGTCTGGTGCTGCTCAACACTAACCCAGGTCTGGTGCTGCTCAACACTAACCCAGGGCTGGTGCTGCTCAACACTAACCCAGGTCAACACTAACCCAGGTCTGGTGCTGCTCAACACTAACCCAGGTCTGGTCCTGCTCAACACTAACCCAGGTCTGGTGCTGCTCAACACTAACCCAGGTCAACACTAACCCAGGTCTGGTGCTGCTCAACACTAACCCAGGTCAACACTAACCCAGGTCTGGTCCTGCTCAACACTAACCCAGGTCTGGTGCTGCTCAACACTAACCCAGGTCTGGTCCTGCTCAACACTAACCCAGGTCTGGTGCTGCTCAACACTAACCCAGGTCTGGTCCTGCTCAACACTAACCCAGGTCTGGTGCTGCTCAACACTAACCCAGGTCTGGTGCTGCTCAACACTAACCCAGGTCTGGATAAGGAAGGGCTCACTGGAATCTCAATTAGAATCAGAAGGTGCAAACACTTTTTGAAAGGATCGGGTCCTGATTTAAAAGCTACACTGTGTCAAACTTCATAGTCCTTTGTGGGTCAGTTGATCCTGGCACTTGTAATGTCGAGATGGTGAGTTTGATTCCTGCTGGGCCCACCCATAAGGAAAAAAGAGCTGGACATGACCTTGCTTGGTGAACCACCCCTCCTCCCCTCCTCCCCTCCTCTAGCCAGTCCTCCACCAGGCTTGGATCAGGAAAGAAACAATAACAGGATATGGAGCTACGCTCGGCAACAACTTGACAACAACAACATGAGCTTTACAAAGAGAGAGTGTCCCGGGGAAGCGAGCGAGGGGGGACAGTGTCCCGGGGAAGCGAGCGAGGGGGGACAGTTTGTTTTAAAACGACACAGGAGCATTCCATATTACCATTATAATAACTATGATCAGCGACAAATAGTGGAAATATTAAGGGCTAGAAGCAGATTGAAAATACATGTTATCTGAAATCTCATTTATACACAAAACTTTAAGAAATGGAAATAAGGCCCTCATTTTTATTTGGATGTTTTAGTTTTTTTCTTGTCATGGCTACGCATCAGAATCTCCCAAAATAGTTTTACAACACCAGCACCGCTGTCTGCCAGCCTCTGTCAGTCTGCCAGCCTCTGTCAGTCTGCCAGCCTCTGTCAGTCTGCCAGCCTCTGTCAGTCTGCCAGCCTCTGCCAGTCTGCCAGCCTCTGTCAGTCTGCCAGCCTCTGCCAGTCTGCCAGTCTGCCAGCCTGCGTGTCTTGGTGGAGGAGGGTTAAGATCTCATCTTCTATATGTTTAATATCCTAAAACAGTCCTGTCATCAGTTAGTCAGCACCATGGTCCCACTCTGGTGTTTCTTTCCATAGACAGGCATTCATTAAAACTGTATCAAAACACAACTTACAGAATAATCAATTAATGAATTAAACCCTCCTTTAAGGGGAAAGAATAACACAATGCTTAAAAGCATTTGGGGCAAAAACGTTTTTCATTTACTTACGCTCTTTTAAATACATGAAAACTAAAGACAGAAGAGAACTTGAATAACATTAAGGCGGTATATACAGAATTTCAAATGAAATAGCTAAACCCCCATCATACAGTCCCTATACATGATGTCACTCCCTGCTTTCTGCTCTGCTCCTTCAGGAGACAGGAGAGGTGGAAGGAGTGATGGGGGATCGGAGACCAGTCTTCTCTGTGCCGTCTCTCCCCTCCCCAGGGAAGAAGGGTTGTAGACAGCGGCTACGTCCCAGATCACACCCTATCCCCTACCTAGTGCACTACATCTAACCAAAACCCTAGGGCTCCGGGTCCATCTAGTGCACTACATAGGAGACGGAGCAGCCTACTGAGGGGGCAGTGAGTGGGTCTGAGTCCCAAATAGCACCATATTCCCTACATTGGTCAAAAGTAGTGCACTGAGCCAATATGGATAGTGGATAGTGCACTATGTAGGGAGCAGGCTACCATCTGGAGCAGGCCCCGGGTCCCCATCTCCCCCTACAGGTTGCCCTTGGAGGGGCCGGGGTTCTTGCCTCCCATGGAGGGGTGGGTGGGTAGACCCTGTAACGCCCCCAGCTGTTGGTACAACCCCAAGAGATCCATCTGGCTCATGCCTCCAGCTCCCAGCATGCCGTTCATCTGGCTCATCAGCTGGGCCTGGTTCGCCATGGCGATCTGCTGCTCTCTCACCTTCCTGTTGGTGATCACCTTCTGAACGTACATCATCAGCTGTGGAGGGGAGGGAGGAGAGGTTAGGCTGTCTGAACGTACATCATCAGCTGTGGAGGGGAGGGAGGAGAGGTTAGGCTGTCTGAACGTACATCATCAGCTGTGGAGGGGAGGGAGGAGAGGTTAGGCTGTCTGAACGTACATCATCAGCTGTGGAGGGGAGGGAGGAGAGGTTAGGCTGTCTGAACGTACATCATCAGCTGTGGAGGGGAGGGAGGAGAGGTTAGGCTGTCTGAACGTACATCATCAGCTGTGGAGGGGAGGGAGGAGAGGTTAGGCTGTCTGAACGTACATCATCAGCTGTGGAGGGGAGGGAGGAGAGGTTAGGCTGTCTGAACGTACATCATCAGCTGTGGAGGGGAGGGAGGAGAGGTTAGGCTGTCTGAACGTACATCATCAGCTGTGGAGGGGAGGGAGGAGAGGTTAGGCTGTCTGAACGTACATCATCAGCTGTGGAGGGGAGGGAGGAGAGGTTAGGCTGTCTGAACGTACATCATCAGCTGTGGAGGGGAGGGAGGAGAGGTTAGGCTGTCTGAACGTACATCATCAGCTGTGGAGGGGAGGGAGGAGAGGTTAGGCTTTCTGAATGTCCATCATAGAGAGACAGATGGAGGGGAGGTTAGGCTTTCTGAATGTCCATCATAGAGAGACAGGTGGAGGGGAGGTTAGGCTGTCTGAATGTCCATCATAGAGAGACAGATGGAGGGGAGGTTAGGCTTTCTGAATGTCCATCATAGAGAGACAGATGGAGGGGAGGTTTTCTGAATGTCCATCATAGAGCGACAGATGGAGGGAGGAGAGATTAGGCTTTCTGAATGTCCATCATAGAGAGACAGATGGAGGGGAGATTAGGCTGTCTGAATGTCCATCATAGAGGGACAGATGGAGGGGAGGTTAGGCTTTCTGAATGTCCATCATAGAGAGACAGATGGAGGGGAGGTTAGGCTTTCTGAATGTCCATCATAGAGACAGATGGAGGGAGGGGAGAGATTAGGCTTTCTGAATGTCCATCATAGAGAGACAGATGGAGGGGAGGTTAGGCTTTCTGAAAGTCCATCATAGAGAGACAGATGGAGGGGAGGTTAGGCTTTCTGAATGTCCATCATAGAGACAGATGGAGGGAGGGGAGAGATTAGGCTTTCTGAATGTCCATCATAGAGAGACAGATGGAGGGGAGGTTAGGCTTTCTGAAAGTCCATCATAGAGAGACAGATGGAGGGGAGGTTAGGCTTTCTGAATGTCCATCATAGAGGGACAGATGGAGGGAGGGGAGGTTAGGCTGTCTGAATGTCCATCATAGAGAGACAGATGGAGGGGAGGTTAGGCTTTCTGAATGTCCATCATAGAGAGACAGATGGAGGGAGGGGAGGTTAGGCTTTCTGAATGTCCATCATAGAGAGACAGATGGAGGGAGGAAGAGGTTAGGCTTTCTGAATGTCCATCATAGAGACAGATGGAGGGGAGGTTAGGCTGTCTGAATGTCCATCATAGAGACAGATGGAGGGGAGGTTAGGCTGTCTGAATGTCCATCATAGAGAGACAGATGGAGGGAGAGGTTAGGCTGTCTGAATGTCCATCATAGAGAGACAGATGGAGGGAGGGAGAGGTTGGGCTTTCTGAATGTCCATCATAGAGAGACAGATGGAGGGAGGGGAGGTTAGGCTTTCTGAATGTCCATCATAGAGAGACAGATGGAGGGGAGGTTAAGCTTTCTGAATGTCCATCATAGAGAGACAGATGGAGGGAGGAGAGGTTAGGCTTTCTGAATGTCCATCATAGAGAGACAGATGGAGGGGAGGTTTTCTGAATGTCCATCATAGAGAGACAGATGGAGGGAGGGAGAGGTTGGGCTGTCTGAATGTCCATCATAGAGAGACAGATGGAGGGGAGGTTGGGCTTTCTGAATGTCCATCATAGAGAGACAGATGGAGGGAGGGAGAGGTTGGGCTTTCTGAATGTCCATCATAGAGAGACAGATGGAGGGGAGGTTAGGCTTTCTGAATGTCCATCATAGAGAGACAGATGGAGGGGAGGTTAGGCTTTCTGAATGTCCATCATAGAGAGACAGATGGAGGGGAGGTTAGGCTTTCTGAATGTCCATCATAGAGAGACAGATGGAGGGAGGGAGAGGTTAGGCTTTCTGAATGTCCATCATAGAGACAGATGGAGGGGAGGTTAGGCTGTCTGAATGTCCATCATAGAGAGACAGATGGAGGGGAGGTTAGGCTGTCTGAATGTCCATCATAGAGAGACAGATGGAGGGAGAGGTTAGGCTGTCTGAATGTCCATCATAGAGAGACAGATGGAGGGAGGGAGAGGTTGGGCTTTCTGAATGTCCATCATAGAGAGACAGATGGAGGGGAGGTTAGGCTTTCTGAATGTCCATCATAGAGAGACAGATGGAGGGGAGGTTAGGCTTTCTGAATGTCCATCATAGAGAGACAGATGGAGGGAGGGGAGAGGTTAGGCTTTCTGAATGTCCATCATAGAGAGACAGATGGAGGGAGGGGAGGTTAGGCTTTCTGAATGTCCATCAGAGAGAGACAGATGGAGGGGAGGAAGAGGTTAGGTTGTCTGAATGTCCATCAGAGAGAGACAGATGAGGGAGGGGAGGTTAGGCTGTCTGAATGTCCATCATAGAGAGACAGATGGAGGGGAGGTTAGGCTGTCTGAATGTCCATCATAGAGAGACAGATGGAGGGGAGGGAGAGATTAGGCTTTCTGAATGTCCATCATAGAGAGACAGATGGAGGGGAGGTTAGGCTTTCTGAATGTCCATCATAGAGAGACAGATGGAGGGGAGGTTAAGCTTTCTGAATGTCCATCATAGAGAGACAGATGGAGGGGAGGTTAAGCTTTCTGAATGTCCATCATAGAGAGACAGATGGAGGGAGGGGAGAGGTTAGGCTTTCTGAATGTCCATCATAGAGAGACAGATGGAGGGGAGGTTAAGCTTTCTGAATGTCCATCATAGAGAGACAGATGGAGGGGAGGTTAGGCTTTCTGAATGTCCACCATAGAGAGACAGATGGAGGGGAGGTTAGGCTTTCTGAATGTCCATCATAGAGAGACAGATGGAGGGGAGGTTTTCTGAATGTCCATCATAGAGACAGATGGAGGGGAGGTTAGGCTTTCTGAATGTCCATCATAGAGAGACAGATGGAGGGGAGGTTAGGCTTTCTGAATGTCCATCATAGAGAGACAGATGGAGGGGAGGTTAGGCTTTCTGAATGTCCATCATAGAGAGACAGATGGAGGGGAGGTTAAGCTTTCTGAATGTCCATCATAGAGAGACAGATGGAGGGAGGGGAGAGGTTAGGCTTTCTGAATGTCCATCATAGAGAGACAGATGGAGGGGAGGCTTTCTGAATGTCCATCATAGAGAGACAGATGGAGGGGAGGTTTTCTGAATGTCCATCATAGAGACAGATGGAGGGGAGGTTAGGCTTTCTGAATGTCCATCATAGAGAGACAGATGGAGGGGAGGTTAGGCTTTCTGAATGTCCATCATAGAGAGACAGATGGAGGGAGGGGAGAGGTTAGGCTTTCTGAATGTCCATCATAGAGAGACAGATGGAGGGGAGGTTAAGCTTTCTGAATGTCCATCATAGAGAGACAGATGGAGGGAGGGGAGAGGTTAGGCTTTCTGAATGTCCATCATAGAGAGACAGATGGAGGGGAGGTTTTCTGAATGTCCATCATAGAGAGACAGATGGAGGGAGGGGAGAGGTTAGGCTTTCTGAATGTCCATCATAGAGAGACAGATGGAGGGGAGGTTTTCTGAATGTCCATCATAGAGACAGATGGAGGGGAGGTTAGGCTTTCTGAATGTCCATCATAGAGAGACAGATGGAGGGAGGAGAGAGAGGCTAGGTGGTGATCACTGAACAATAAGAGAAGCAGGAGAAGTTTAGATAGCAGGTGTTCCGAGTCCTGTCAGGTGTTCCGAGTCCTGTCAGGTGTTCCGAGTCCTGTCAGGTGTTCCGAGTCCTGTCAGGTGTTCCGAGTCCTGTCAGGTGTTCCGAGTCCTGTCAGGTGTTCCGAGTCCTGTCAGGTGTTCCGAGTCCTGTCAGGTGTTCCGAGTCCTGTCCTGTCGTGTCGTATCCTGTCAGGTCGAGTCGTGTCCTGTCGCGTCGAGTCGTGTCCTGTCGCGCCGAGTCGTGTTAGGTCGCGGTGAGTTGTATCCTGTCGTGTCGTGTCCTGTCAGGTCGTGTTAGGTCGTGTTGTGTCCTGTCGTGTCCCGTCAGGTCGTGTCCTGTCGTGTCCTGTCAGGTCGTGTCCTGTCAGGTCGTGTCCTGTCGTGTCCTGTCGTGTCCTGTCGTGTCCTGTCAGGTCGTGTCCTGTCCTGTCGTGTCCTGTCAGGTCGTGTCCTGTCCTGTCGTGTCCTGTCAGGGTCGTGTCCTGTCGTGTCCTGTCGTGTCCTGTCCTGTCGTGTCCTGTCCTGTCGTGTCCTGTCGTGTCCTGTCAGGTCGTGTCCTGTCGTGTCCTGTCGTGTCCTGTCAGGTCGTGTCCTGTCGTGTCCTGTCAGGTCGTGTCCTGTCCTGTCAGGTCGTGTCCTGTCGTGTCGTGTCCTGTCAGGTCGTGTCGCGTCCTGTCAGGTTGTGTTAGGTCGTGTCCTGTCAGGTCGTGTCCTGTCAGGTCGTGTCCTGTCAGGTCGTGTTCCTGTCGTCAGGTCGTGTCCTGTCGTCCTGTCGTCGTGTCCTGTCAGGTGTGTCCTGTCGTGTCCTGTCAGGTGTCGTGTCCTGTCGTGTCCTGTCAGGTCGTGTCCTGTCCTGTCCTGTCCTGTCAGGTCGTGTCGTGTCGTGTCCTGTCCTGTCCTGTCGTGTCCTGTCAGGTCGTGTCCTGTCAGGTCGTGTCCTGTCGTGTCCTGTCAGGTCGTGTCCTGTCATGTCCTGTCAGGTCGTGGTCCTGTCCGTGTCATCTGTCGTGGTCCTGTCAGGTCGTTGTCTGTCGTGTCTGTCCTGTAGTCGTCGTGTTCACTGTCGTCGTGTCCTGTCAGGTCGTGTCCTGTCGTGTCCTGTCAGGTCGTGTCTGTCTGTCGCGGTCCTGTCGTCGTGTCCTGTCAGGTCGTGTCCTGTCGTGTCCTGTCAGTTCCTGCAGTCGTGTCCTGTCGTGTCCTGTCAGGTCGTTTGTCGCTGTCCGTGTCCTGTCGGTCGTGTCCTGTCGTGTCCTGTCAGGTCGTGTCCTGTCGTGTCCTGTCAGGTCGTGTCCTGTCAGGTCGTGTCCTGTCTGTCGTGTCCTGTCAGGTCGTGTCCTGTCGTGTCCTGTCAGGTCGTGTCCTGTCGTGTCCTGTCAGTCGTGTCCTGTCGTGTCCTGTCAGGTCGTGTCCTGTCGTGTCCTGTCGTGGTCCTGTCAGGTCGTGTCCTGTCAGGTCGTGTCCTGTCGTGTCCGTCAGGTCGTGTCCTGTCGTGTCCTGTCAGGGCGTGTCCTGTCCGTGTCCCTTGTCCAGGTCGTGTCCTGTCGCTGTCCTGTCAGGTCGTGTCCTGTGGTCTGTCCTGTCGTGTCCTGTCAGGTCGTGTCCGTAGGTCGTGTCCTGTCAGGTCGTGTCCTGTCGTGTCCTGTCAGGTCGTGTCCTGTCGTGTCCTGTCAGGTCGTGTCCTGTCCTGTCCTGTCGTGTCCTGTCAGGTCGTGTCCTGTCAGGTCGTGTCCTGTCGTCGTCCTGTCAGGTCGTGTCCTGTCAGGTCGTGTCCTGTCGTGTCCTGTCAGTAGGTCGTGTCCTGTCAGGTCGTGTCCTGTCAGGTCGTGTCCTGTCGTGTCCTGTCAGTCGTGTCCTGTCAGGTCGTGTCCTGTCAGGTCGTGTCCTGTCAGGTCGTGTCCTGTCAGGTCGTGTCCTGTCGTGTCTGTCAGTCTGTCGTTGTCCTGTCAGTCGTGTCCTGCGTCGTGTCCTGTCAGGTCGTGCTGCCTGTCTGTCGTCCTGTCAGTCGTGTCCTGTCAGGGTCGTGTCCTGTCAGGTCGTGTCCGTGTCGTGTCCTGTCAGGTCGTGTCCTGTCGTGTCCTGTCAGGTCGTGTCCTGCCGTGTCCTGTCAGGTCGTGTCCTGTCGTGTCCTGTCAGGTCCTGTCCTGTCGTGTCCTGTCAGGTCGTGTCCTGTCAGGTCGTGTCCTGTCGTGTCCTGTCCTGTCGTGTCCTGTCGTGTCCTGTCAGGTCGTGTCGCGTCCTGTCAGGTCGTGTCCTGTCGCGTCCTGTCAGGTCGTGTTAGGTCGTGTCAGGTTAGGTTAGAAGTTGTGATCTTACGGTCTGTTGCTTATTGAGGACGTCTCTGTAGACAGCTTCTCTACGTTTGAGCTCCATCTCTACAGTGGCCTGTCTCCCCAGAGCCATGGACTGGACCTGGGCCTCCGTTAGGGCTGGGTTCTCCTTCCACTGGAGGGGAGGGGAGGGGGGGAGAGGAGGAGGAGAGAAGAGGGGGGAGGGGAGGAGGAGAGAAGAGGGGAGAGGAGAGGAGAGGAGAGGAGAGGAGAGGAGAGGAGAGGGGGGAGGGGAGGAGGAGACTGGTCACAGGATGGACAACACACTGTCCTAACAACCCATCAAACAGGCCATACAACTAAAACATCTTCACACCTCAAGTCTTCAGCACAGGTTCTCACAGGAACACAGGGAGAGATTAGACAGCTGAAGTGGTGGTCTCTCTCCCTCCCTCTCTCGCTCCCTCTCTCTCTCCCTCTCTATCTCTCTCTCTCCCTCCCTCCCTCCCTCCCTCCCTCCCTCCCTCTCTCCCTCTCACACCCTCCCTCTCTCCCTCTCCCTCCCTCTCTCCCTCCCTCCCTCCCTCCCTCCACTCACCACTCTCCCGATGGTGTCCTCTAGAGATTCTCTGGGGAGGAACTTGAGAGCGTTGGTGGCCTCCATCACCTTCTGACGGCCCTGGTTGATCAAATCCTACAGTCGTAGAAAAAGGGCACATGTAAAAAAAAAAACGGGGCGGTGTGACGGGGCGGTGTGACGGCGCGGTGTGACGGGGCGGTGTGACGGGGCGGTGTGACGGGGCGGTGTGGCGGGGCGGTGTGGTGTGTGTGGGTGTGACGGGGCGGTGAGACGGGGCGGTGTGACGGGGCTGTGTGGCGGGGCGGTGTGACGGGGCGGTGTGACGGGGCGGTGTGGCGGGGCGGTGTGGCGGGGCGGTGTGTGTGGGTGTGACGGGGCGGTGTGACGGGGCGGTGTGACGGGGCGGTGTGTACGGGGCGGTGTGACGGGGCTGTGTGACGGACGGTGTGACGGGGCGGTGTGGCGGGGCGGTGTGTGTGGGTGTGACGGGGCGGTGAGACGGGGCGGTGTGACGGGGCTGTGTGACGGGGCGGTGTGACGGGGCGGTGTGGCGGGGCGGTGTGTGTGGGTGTGACGGGGGCGGTGTGACGGGGCGGTGTGGCGGGGCGGTGTGACGGGGCGGTGTGACGGGGCTGTGTACGGGGCGGTGTGACGGGGCGGTGTGACGGGGCGGTGTGACGGGGCGGTGTGTACGGGGCGGTGTGACGGGGCGGTGTGACGGGGCGGTGTGACCGGGCGGTGTGGCGGGGCGGTGTGACGGGGCGGTGTGGTGGGGCGGTGTGACGGGGCGGTGTGACGGGGCGGTGTGACGGGGCTGTGTGGCGGTGTGACGGGGCGGTGTGACGGGCAGTGTGGCGGGGCGGTGTGGTGTGGCGGGGGCGGTGTAACGGGGCGGTGGTGACGGGGGCGGTGTGGCGGGGCGGTGTGTGTGGGTGTGACGGGGCGGTGTGAAGGGGCGGTGTGACGGGGCTGTGTGGCGGGGCGGTGTGTGTGGGTGTGACGGGGCGGTGTGACGGGGCGGTGTGACGGGGCGGTGTGACGGGGCTGTGTGACGGGGCGGTGTGACGGGGCGGTGTGTACGGGGCGGTGTGACGGGGCTGTGTGACGGGCGGTGTGACGGGGCGGTGTGGCGGGGCTGTGTGTTGCGGTGTGACGGGGCGGTGTGACGGGGCGGTGTGACGGGGCTGTGTGGCGGGGCGGTGTGGCGGGGCGGTGTGACGGGGCGGTGTGGCGGGGCGGTGTGGTGTGGCGGGGCGGTGTGACGGGGCGGTGTGGCGGGGCGGTGTGGCGGGGCGGTGTGGCGGGGCGGTGTGTGTGGGTGTGACGGGGCGGTGTGACGGGGCGGTGTGGGGGGGCGGTGGGCGGTGTGTGACGGGGCGGTGTGACGGGGCGGTTGTGGCGGGGCGGTGTGACGGGCGGTGTGGCGGGGCGGTGTGACGGGCTGTGTGGCGGTGTGACGGGGCGGTGTGACGGGGCGGTGTGACGGGGCGGTGTGGACGGGGCTGTGTGGCGGGGCGGTGTGGCGGGGCGGGTGACGGGGCGGTGGTGGCGGGGCGGTGTGGTGTGGCGGGGCGGTGTGACGGGGCGGTGTGGCGGGGCGGTGTGAGGGGCGGTGTGACGGGGCGGTGTGGCGGGGCGGTGTGGCGGGGCGTGTGGTCGGGGCGGTGGGCGGGGGTGACGGGGCGGTGTGGCGGGGCGGGCGGTGTGGCGGGCGGTGTGACGGGGCTGTGTGGCGGGGGGGTGTGAGGCGGGTGGACGGTGGGGCGGTGTGACGGGGCGGGTTTTGTGTGGGGGGGACGGGGTGTGACGGGGCGGTGTGTGGGGTTGTGACGGGGCGGTGTGACGGGGGGGTGTGGCGGGGCGGTGTGTCGGGCGGTGTGGACGGGGCGGTGGGGACGGGGCGGTGTGGCGGGGCGGTGTGTGGCGGGCGGTGTGACGGGGCGGTGTGGGGGGGCGGTGTGGCGTGGGCGGTGTGGCGGGGCGGTCGGTGTGGCGGGGGCGGGTGTGGGCGGGCGGTGTGGGCGGGGCGGTGGTGCGGCGGTGTGACGGGGCGGTGTGGCGGGGCGGGGGTGGGGGGCGGTGGGGTGACGGGGCGGTGTGACGGGGCGGTGTGACGGGGCGGTTGCGGGCGGGGCGGTGTGACTGGGCGGTGTGGGCGGTGTGACGGGGCGGTGTGGACGGGGCGGTGTGACGGGGCGGTTGTGTGCGGGCGGTGTGGGCGGTGTGACGGGGGTGTGACGGGGCGGTGTGACGGGGCGGTGTGACGGGGCGGTGTGACGGGGCGGTGTGACGGGGCGGTGTGGCGGGGCGTGTGGCGGGCGGTTTTACGGGCGGGGCCGGTGTGACGGGGCGGGTGTGGGCGGGGCGGTGTGGACGGTGGCGGTGTGACGGGGCGGGTGTGTGACGGGGCGGTGTGACGGGGCGGTGTGGCGGGGCGGGGCGGTGTGTGTGGGTACGCTACCTCCAGCTGGGGGTTGGACATAGAGGCCAGTGCAGCCACGTTGAAGGGGAAGTAGCTGTTAGCTCCTCCCATGTCCATCTGTCCTCCGTACGCTCCATGGTTCACACGCATAGACAGACCCTGGGACAGAGACAGAGAGGGTTATTGATACACACAGACAGACCCTGGGACAGAAACACAGAGGGAGACAGACAGGGACAGAAAGAGACAGAGAGACAGGGACAGAGAGACCGATACAGACACCGACAAAGACAGGGACAGAGTGAGACAGAGACCAACACAGAGAGTGAGAGACCAACAGAGAGAGAGAGAGACAGGGACAGAGACAGAGATACAGAGACAGAGAGAGAGAGAGAGAGAGGGAGACACAGAGAGACAGGGACACAGAGAGAGAGAGAAGCCATTTCTTTTTCTTTTCAAATGTTTTTATTTAATTAAATGTATTGACCGAAGATTCCATGATTCTCAATACAACAGCAGTATTGTTGTACCTGTATCCAGGATTCCACTTCCATTTACATATTTAGCAGACGCTCTTATCCAGAGCGACTTACAGTTAGTGAGTGCATACATCTTTTTTTTTTTTTTTTATACTGGCCCCCGTGGGAATCGAACCCACAACCCTGGCGTTGCAAATGCCATGCTCTACCAACTGAGCTACATCCCTGCCGGCCATTCCCTCCCCTACCCTGGACGACGCTGGGCCAATTGTGCGCCGCCCCATGGGTCTCCCGGTCGCGGCCGGCTACGACAGAGCCTGGATTCAAACCAGGATCTCTAGTGGCCCAGCTAGCACTGTGATGCAGTGCCTTAGACCACAGCTAGCACTGCCAATAGCAGTATTGTTGTACCTGTATACAGTGAATTTTGTTACGTTACAGCCTTATTCTAAAATTGTTTAAATCGTTTTTCCCCCTCAATCAACACACAATACCCCATAATGACGAAGCAAAAACAGGTTTAGACATTTTTGCTAATTTATGAAATATCACATTTACCTAAGTATTCAGACGCTTTACTCTGTACTTTGTTGAAGCACCTTTGGCAGCGATTACAGGCACAAGTCTTCTTGGGTATGACGCTACAAGCTCGGCACATCTGTATTTGGGGAGTTTCTCCCATTCTTCTCTGCAGATCCTCTCAAGCTCTGTCAGGTTGGATGAGGAGCGTCGCTGCACAGCTATTTTCAGGTCTCTCCAGAGATGTTCGATCGGGTTCAAGTCCGGGCTCTGGCTGGGCCACTCAAGGACATTTAGAGGCTTGTCCCGAAGCCACTCCTGCGTTGTCTTGGCTGTGTGCTTAGGGCTGTGGTCCTGTTGGAAGGTGAACCTTTGCACCAGTCTGAGGTCCTGAGCGCTCTGGAGCAGGTTTTCATCAAGGATCTCTCTGTACTTTGCTCCGTTCATCTTTGCCTCGATCCTGACTAGTCTCCCAGTCCCTGCCGCTGAAATACATCCCCACAGCATGATGCTGCCACCACCATGCTTCACCGTAGGGATGGTGCCAGGTTTCCACCAAACTTGACGCTTGGCATTCAGGCCAAAGAGTTCAATCTTGGTTTCATCAGACCAGAGAATCTTGTTTCTCATGGTCTGAGAGTCTTTAGGTGCCTTTTGGCAAACTCCAAGCGGGCTGTCATGTGCCTTTTACTGAGGAGTGGCTTCCGTCTGGCCACTCTACCATAAAGGCCTGATTGGTGGAGTGCTGCAGAGATGGTTGTCCTTCTGGAAGGTTCTCCCATCTCCACAGAGGAACTCTGGAGCTCTGCCAGTGTGACCATCGGGTTCTTGGTCACCTCCCTGACCAAGGCCCTTCTCCCCCGATTGTTCAGTTTGGCCGGGCGGCCAGCTCTAGGAAGAGTCTTGGTGGTTCCAAACTTCTTCCATTTAAGAATGATGGAAGCCACTGTGTTCTTGGGAACCTTCAATGCTGCAGAAATGTTTTGGTACCCTTCCCCAGATCTGTGCCTCAACACTATCCTGTCTCTGAGCTCTAAGGACAATTCCTTCGACCTCATGGCTTGGTTTTGCTCTGACATGCACTGTCAACTGTGGAACCTTATATAGACAGGTGTGTGCCTTTCCAAATCATGTCCAATCAATTGAATTTACCACAGGTGGACTCCAATCAAGTTGTAGAAACATCTCAAGGATGATCAATGGAAACAGGATGCACCTGAGCTCAATTTCAAGTCTCATAGCAAAGGGTCTGAATACTTATGTAAATAAGGTATCTGTTTTTTGTTTTTAATACATTTGCTAACATTTCTAAAAACCAGTTTTTTTTCGCTTTGTCATTATGGGGTATTGCATGTAGATTGCTGAGGATTTTTATTTCATCCATTTTAGAATAATGCTGTAACGTAACAAAATGTGGAAAAAGTCAAGGGGTTTGTACATGATTCCACAATACAACAGCAGTAGTGTTGTACCTGTATCCATGATTCCACAATACAACAGCAGTATTGTTGTACCTGTATCCATGATTCCACAATACAACAGCAGTATTGTTGTACCTGTATCCATGATTCCACAATACAACAGCAGTATTGTTGTACCTGTTTACATGATTATATGTATTATTGTACTGCTTGGCAATATCTACAAACAGAGAGGGAAACCAGTACCACTACCAACCCCCTCAGACTAAACAGAGAGAGAGAAACCAGTACCACTACCAACCCCCTCAGACTAAACAGAGAGAGGGAAACCAGTACCACTACCAACCCCCTCAGACTAAACAGAGAGAGGGAAACCAGTACCACTACCAACCCCCTCAGACTAAACAGAGAGAGGGAAACCAGTACCACTACCAACCCCCTCAGACTAAACAGAGAGAGGGAAACCAGTACCACTACCAACCCCCTCAGACTAAACAGAGAGAGGGAAACCAGTACCACTACCAACCCCCTCAGACTAAACAGAGAGAGGGAAACCAGTACCACTACCAACCCCCTCAGACTAAACAGAGAGAGGGAAACCAGTACCACTACCAACCCCCTCAGACTAAACAGAGAGAGGGAAACCAGTACCACTACCAACCCCCTCAGACTAAACAGAGAGAGGGAAACCAGTACCACTACCAACCCCCTCAGACTAAACAGAGAGAGGGAAACCAGTACCACTACCAACCCCCTCAGACTAAACAGAGAGAGGGAAACCAGTACCACTACCAACCCCCTCAGACTAAACAGAGAGAGGGAAACCAGTACCACTACCAACCCCCTCAGACTAAACAGAGAGAGGGAAACCAGTACCACTACCAACCCCCTCAAACTAAACAGAGAGAGGTGAAGGGACAGAAGGGAAGGGAACCCTGTACAGCATCTCTCAGCAGACTGTTTAGGGTTGGTTTGCTTAGTGTTGGGGTTACTGAACAAGGCCCTCTGGTCTCTCAGTGTTGGGGTTACTGAACAAGGCCCTCTGGTCTCTCAGTGTTGGTGTTACTGAACAAGGCCCTCTGGTCTCTCAGTGTTGGTGTTACTGAACAAGGCCCTCTGGTCTCTCAGTGTTGGTGTTACTGAACAAGGCCCTCTGGTCTCTCAGTGTTGGGGTTACTGCACAAGGCCCTCTGGTCTCTCAGTGTTGGGGTTACTGAACAAGGCCCTCTGGTCTCTCAGTGTTGGGGTTACTGCACAAGGCCCTCTGGTCTCTCTCAGTGTTGGGGTTACTGAACAAGGCCCTCTGGTCTCTCAGTGTTGGGGTTACTGCACAAGGCCCTCTGGTCTCTCAGTGTTGGGGTTACTGAACAAGGCCCTCTGGTCTCTCAGTGTTGGGGTTACTGAACAAGGCCCTCTGGTCTCTCAGTGTTGGGGTTACTGAACAAGGCCCTCTGGTCTCTCAGTGTTGGGGTTACTGAACAAGGCCCTCTGGTCTCTCAGTGTTGGGGTTACTGAACAAGGCCCTCTGGTCTCTCAGTGTTGGGGTTACTGAACAAGGCCCTCTGGTCTCTCAGTGTTGGGGTTACTGAACAAGGCCCTCTGGTCTCTCAGTGTTGGGGTTACTGCACAAGGCCCTCTGGTCTGATCAACACAAATCAGCTGTCTCTCTTCTACCCCCTTTGGTGAGGTATGTGTGTGTTTCTTTTCCTGTGTGTGTGTCTGTTTGTGTACGTGCAGTAAACAGTCTGTCCCAGTAAAGACCAGCAGGATGCCTCTCTCTCTCTGTGGCCAGCAGGATGCCCCTCTCTCTCTGTGGCCAGCAGGATGCCCCTCTCTCTATGTGGCCAGCAGGATGCCCCTCTCTCTCTCTGTGGCCAGCAGGATGCCCCTCTCTCTCTGTGGCCAGCAGGATGCCTCTCTCTCTCTGTGGCCAGCAGGATGCCCCTCTCTCTTTGTGGCCAGCCTGATGCCTATCTCTCTCTGTGGCCAGCAGGATGCCTCTCTCTCTCTGTGGCCAGCAGGATGCCTCTCTCTCTCTGTGGCCAGCAGGATGCCTCTCTCTCTCTGTGGCCAGCAGGATGCCTCCCTCTCTCTGTGGCCAGCAGGATGCCTCCCTCTCTCTGTGGCCAGCAGGATGCCTCTCTCTCTCTGTGGCCAGCAGGATGCCTCCCTCTCTCTGTGGCCAGCAGGATGCCTCTCTCTCTCTGTGGCCAGCAGGATGCCCCTCTCTCTCTGTGGCCAGCAGGATGCCCCTCTCTCTCTGTGGCCAGCAGGATGCCCCTCTCTCTCTGTGGCCAGCAGGATGCCTCTCTCTCTCTGTGGCCAGCAGGATGCCTCTCTCTCTCTGTGGCCAGCAGGATGCCCCTCTCTCTCTGTGGCCAGCAGGATGCCCCTCTCTCTCTGTGGCCAGCAGGATGCCTCTCTCTCTCTGTGGCCAGCAGGATGCCTCTCTCTGTGGCCAGCAGGATGCCTCTCTCTCTCTGTGGCCAGCAGGATGCCCCTCTCTCTCTGTGGCCAGCAGGATGCCTCCCTCTCTCTGTGGCCAGCAGGATGCCTCTCTCTCTCTGTGGCCAGCAGGATGCCTCTCTCTCTCTGTGGCCAGCAGGATGCCCCTCTCTCTCTGTGGCCAGCAGGATGCCTCCCTCTCTCTGTGGCCAGCAGGATGCCCCTCTCTCTCTGTGGCCAGCAGGATGCCCCTCTCTCTCTGTGGCCAGCAGGATGCCTCTCTCTCTCTGTGGCCAGCAGGATGCCTCTCTCTCTCTCTGTGGCCAGCAGGATGCCCCTCTCTCTCTGTGGCCAGCAGGATGCCCCTCTCTCTCTGTGGCCAGCAGGATGCCTCTCTCTGTGGCCAGCAGGATGCCTCTCTCTCTCTCTGTGGCCAGCAGGATGCCTCTCTCTCTCTGTGGCTAGCAGGATGCCTCTCTCTCTCTGTGGCCAGCAGGATGCCCCTCTCTCTCTGTGGCCAGCAGGATGCCTATCTCTCTCTGTGGCCAGCAGGATGCCTCTCTCTCTCTGTGTGTGTAATTGAACCTCTGTTGCAGATGCTCCAACTCCTGCCCTGTAATCCAACCATCCGGTCGCTGTGCGTGCTAGCGTGTATGTGTTTAGCGGTGTGTGTTTGGATCTGGCCAGAGGCAGCTGTGAAGGCCCAAACAGTAGAACACAGCTGCTCCTCTCCTTCTTCATGGGAACTGAAACCTGTGACTCCTAACAGAAGTGACCCATCAGAGTTCAACTCCTCTTCACCTAAATCCCAGGACACACAGACCTTGTTCTTTCAAACATCTGAATTTCACCAGAACTCACGTGTACAGAACCTTCCCCCCACCTGTCTCTCTCTCTCCCTCCCTCCCTTCCTCCCACCCTGTTTGCCTGTCTTCCTCCCACCCTGTCTCCCTCCCTCCCTCCCTCCCTCCCTCCCTCCCTCCCTGTCTGTCTCTCTCTCTCCCTCCCTGTCTGTTTGCCTGTCTCTCTCTCTCCCACCCTGTCTGTTTGCCTGTCTCCCTCCCTCCCTGTCTGTTTGCCTGTCTCCCTCCCTGGAGGGGAGGAGTAGGGAGGGAGGTAGGGGTTTGGGGTGGGGGAGCAGGGAGGGGGGGGAGATCTAAATTCCAGAAATGACATCTTCCCTCCCCACACACAGAGGGAGAGGAGATCTAAGTCACAGAAATAAGGGTTGACAGGAGGCAGCGGAGAGGTAGAGAAAGAGCTGTGTGTGCCTTCTCCGCCTAGTGTGAGTGTGTGTACGTATGAGTGTGTGTACGTATGAGTGTGTGTACGTGTGAGTGTGTGTACGTGTGAGTGTGTGTACGTATGAGTGTGTGTACGTATGAGTGTGTGTACGTATGAGTGTGTGTACGTATGAGTGTGTGTACGTGTGAGTGTGTGTACGTATGAGTGTGTGTACGTGTGAGTGTGTGTACGTATGAGTGTGTGTACGTATGAGTGTGTTATTTGTTACATGCTTCGTAAACAGGTGAAGACTAACAGTGAAATGCTTAGTTACGGGGCCCTGCCAACAATGCAGAGACAAAAATAAATAGATAAATTATAGTTGCCTATATGCACAAGGTACCAGGTAATAACATGGCTATATGCACAAGGTACCAGTACCGAGTCCATGTCCAGGGGTACCAGGTAATAACATGGCTATATATACAGGGTACCAGGTAATAACACGGCTATATACAGGGTACCAGGTAATAACACGGCTATATACAGGGAGTACCAGGTAATAACATGGCTATATACACAGGGTACCAGGTAATAACATGGCTATATACAGGGAGTACCAGGTAATAACATGGCTATATACAGGGGTACCAGGTAATAACATGGCTATATACAGGGAGTACCAGGTAATAACATGGCTATATACACAGGGTACCAGGTAATAACATGGCTATATACAGGAAGTACCAGGTAATAACATGGCTATATACAGGGAGTACCAGGTAATAACATGGCTATATACACAGGGTACCAGGTCATAACATGGCTATATACAGGAAGTACCAGGTAATAACATGGCTATATACAGGGAGTACCAGGTAATAACATGGCTATATACAGGGAGTACCTGGTAATAACATGGCTATATACACACGGGGTACCAGGTAATAACATGGCTATATACAGGGAGTACCAGGTAATAACATGGCTATATACAGGGAGTACCAGGTAATAACATGGCTATATACACAAGGTACCAGTACCGAGTCCATGTCCAGGGTACCAGGTAATAACATGGCTATATGCACAAGGTACCAGTACTGAGTGGATGTGCAGGGGTACCAGGTAATAACATGGCTATATACACAGGAAGTACCAGTACAGAGTCCATGTGCAGGGGTACCAGGTAATAACATGGCTATATACACAGGAAGTACCAGTACAGAGTCCATGTGCAGGGGTACCAGGTAATAACATGGCTATATACACAGGAAGTACCAGTACAGAGTCCATGTGCAGGGGTACCAGGTAATAACATGGCTATATACACAAGGTACCAGTACAGAGTCCATGTGCGGGGGAACGAGGTCATTGAGGTAGATATGTACATATAACTAAGAATAAAGTGACAGATAATAAACAGTAGCAGCAGTGTATGTGATGAGTCAAAAGTTAGTGCAAAAAGGGTCAATGTAGATAGTCTGGGTTGCAGGGTTCTCAGTACATCAGACAGGAATAAAGAACTCTCAGAGAAGAAGAAAGGCGGTGGTGTATGTTTTATTATTAACTACTCATGGTGTGATTGTGGCAACGTACAGGAACTCAAATCCTTTTGCTTACCCGACCTAGAATACCTCAATCACATGCCGACCGTATTACCTCCCGAGAGAAGTCTCTTTGGTTATAGTCCCAACCGTGTATATCCCCCCTCAAGCCGACACCACGACAGCCCTCAAGGAACTACACTGGACTTTATGCAAACTGGAAACCACATATCCTGAGGCCGCATTTACTGTAGCACTTTAACAAAGCACATTTGAAGGAACGCTACTGAAGTTCTATCAACACATTGCCTGCATTACTCTCGCTACAAGGCCCTCCCCCACCCTCCCTTCAGCAAATCAGATCACGACTCCATTCCGCTCCTCCCTTCCTATAGGCAGAAACTCAAACAGGAAGTACCCGTGCTAAGGTCTATTCAACGCTGGTCTGACCAATCGGAATCCATGCTTCAAGATTGTTTTGATCACGCAGACTGGGATATGTTCCAGGTAGCCTCTGAGAATAACATTGACGTACAGTTGCACTCGGAAAGTATTCAGACCCCTTCTCCACATTTTGTTACGTTACAGTGTTAACCGTCGCAAGGCTCCCGAGTGGCGCAGCGGTCTAAGGCACTGCATCTCAGTGCTTGAGGCGTCACTACAGACCCCCTGGTTCGATTCCAGGCTGCATCACACCCACTTGCTTCAAGATGGCCACCATTGTTCCTGTACCCAAGAAAGCAAAGGTAACTGAACTAAATGACTATCGCCCCGTAGCACTCACCTCTGTCATCATGAAGTGCTTTGAGAGGCTAGTTAAGGATCATATCACCTCTACCTTACCTGACACCCTAGACCCACTTCAATTTGCTTACCGCCCCAATAGATCCACAGACGATGCAATCGCCATCACACTGCACACTGCCCTATCCCATCTGGACAAGAGGAATACCTATGTAAGAATGCTGTTCATTGACTATAGCTCAGCATTCAACACCATAGTACCCTCCAAGCTCATCATTAAGCTCGAGGCCCTGGGTCTGAACCCTGCCCTGTGCAACTGGGTCCTGGACTTCCTGACGGGCCACCCCCAGGTGGTGAAGGTAGGAAACAACATCTCCACTTCGCTGATCCTCAACACTGGGGCCCCACAAGGGTGCGTGTTCAGCCCCCTCCTGTACTCCCTGTTCACCCATGACTGCGTGGCCACGCACGCCTCCAACTCGATCATCAAGTTTGCAGACGACACAACAGTAGTAGGCTTGATTACCAACAATGACGAGACCGCCTACAGGGAGGAGGTGAGGGCTCTGGGAGTGTGGTGCCAGGAAAATAACCTCTCACTCAACGTCAACAAAGCGAAGGAGATGATCGTGGACTTCAGGAAACAGCAGAGGGTGCACCCCCCTATCCACATCAACGGGACCGCAGTGGAGAAGGTGAAAAGCTTCAAGTTCCTCGACGTACACATCACTGACAATCTGAAATGGTCCACCCACACAGACAGTGTGGTGAAGAAGGCGCAACAGAGCCTCTTCAACCTCAGGAGGCTGAAGAAATTTGGCTTATCACCTAAAACCCTCACAAACCTTTACAGACGCCCCATTGAGAGCATCCTGTCGGGCTGTATCACCGCCTGGTACGGCAACTGCACCGCCTGCAACCGCAGGGCTCTCCAGAGGGTGGTGCGGTCTGCCCAACGCAACACCGGGGGCAAACTACCCGCCCTCCAGGACACCTACAGCACCCGAAGTCACACTGCCTGTTCACCCCGCTATCATCCAGAAGGCGAGGTCAGTACAGGTGCATCAAAGCTGGGACAGAGAGACTGAAAAACAGCTTCTATCTCAAGGCCATCAGACAGTTAAATAGCCATCACTAGCCGGCTACCACCTGGCTACTCAACCCTGCACCTTAGAGGGTGCTGCCCTATATACATAGACATGGAATCACTGGCCACTTTAATAATGGAACACTAGTCACTTTAATAATGTTTACATACTGCTTTACTAATTCCATATGTATATACTGTATTGTAGTTAATGCCAATCCAACATTGTTCGTCCTATTATTTCTTAATTACATTATTTTACTTTTAGATTTGTGTGTATTGTTAGATACTACTGCACTGTTGGAGCTAGGAACACAAGCATTTCACTACACCTGCAATAACATCAGCTATGTGATTCTATCTGTCTGTCTGTCTGTCTGTCTGTCTGTCTGTCTGTCTGTCTGTCTGTCTGTCTGTCTGCGTGTGGGTACCTTCTTCTCCGCCTCGTACTCGGCCCACGCTGCTTTGCGGTCCTCCTCGCTGAGAGCCTCCTCTTCCTTGTGATCCAGCAGGGAGTCGTGTTCATGATAGCCCACTATCTGCTCCTTATTGCTGTGGAGCAGCTCAGCTAGGAAGGGGTCCTACAGGAGAGAAGTTACAGGACAGTTAGGGTCAGGTTAGGGTCAGGTTAGGGTCAGGTCAGGGTCAGGTTAGGGTCAGGTTAGGGTCAGGTTAGGGTCAGGTTAGGAGCAGGTCAGGGTCAGGTTAGGGTCAGGGTCAGGTTAGGGTCAGGAGCAGGGTCAGGAGCAGGGTCAGGTTAGGGTCAGGTTAGGGTCAGGTTAGGAGCAGGTTAGGGTCAGGGTCAGGTTAGGGTCAGGTTAGGTTAGGGTCAGGTTAGGGTCAGGGTCAGGTTAGGGTCAGGTTAGGAGCAGGTTAGGGTCAGGTTAGGGTCAGGTCAGGGTCAGGTCAGGGTCAGGTTAGGAGCAGATTAGGAGCAGGTTAGGGTCAGGTTAGGGTCAGGTTAGGGTCAGGAGCAGGGTCAGGTTAGGGTCAGGTTAGGAGCAGGTTAGGGTCAGGGTCAGGTTAGGGTCAGGTTAGGGTCAGGGTCAGATTAGGGTCAGGTTAGGAGCAGGTTAGGGTCAGGTTAGGGTCAGGTCAGGGTCAGGTTAGGAGCAGGTTAGGGTCAGGTCAGGGTCGGGTCAGGTTAGGGTCAGGTCAGGGTCAGGGTCAGGTTAGGGTCAGGTCAGGGTCAGGGTCAGGTTAGGAGCAGGTCAGGGTCAGGTTAGGGTCAGGTCAGGGTCAGGTTAGGAGCAGGTTAGGGTCAGGTTAGGAGCAGGTTAGGGTCAGGTTAGGGTCAGGTCAGGAGCAGGTTAGGGTCAGGTCAGGGTCAGGTTAGGGTCAGGTTAGGGTCAGGTTAGGGTCAGGTTAGGAGCAGGTTAGGGTCAGGTTAGGAGCAGGTTAGGAGCAGGTTAGGGTCAGGTTAGGAGCAGGTTAGGGTCAGGTTAGGAGCAGGTTAGGGTCAGGTTAGGAGCAGGGTCAGGTTAGGGTCAGGTTAGGGTCAGGTTAGGAGCAGGTTAGGGTCAGGTTAGGGTCAGGTTAGGAGCAGGTTAGGGTCAGGTTAGGAGCAGGTTAGGGTCAGGTTAGGGTCAGGTTAGGAGCAGGTTAGGAGCAGGTTAGGGTCAGGTTAGGAGCAGGTTAGGGTCAGGTTAGGAGCAGGTTAGGGTCAGGTTAGGAGCAGGTTAGGGTCAGGTTAGGAGCAGGTTAGGAGCAGGTTAGGGTCAGGTTAGGGTCAGGTTAGGGTCAGGTTAGGGTCAGGTTAGGGTCAGGTTAGGAGCAGGTTAGGAGCAGGTTAGGAGCAGGTTAGGAGCAGGTTAGGAGCAGGTTAGGAGCAGGTTAGGGTCAGGTTAGGAGCAGGTTAGGGTCAGGTTAGGGTCAGGTTAGGAGCAGGTTAAGGTCAGGTTAGGAGCAGCTCAGCTAGGACACACACCATGAAACCCGCAGCCCCAGTTTTTTTTTTTACACTAATGAAACCCCTAAAAATTGAAAAAATAAATTATGTTAATATGATCAGAGATGACAAATAAAGTCCAACAGCTGGTTTGAGTGTTCTACAGAGTGGAGCACCAGACAGCTGGAGAGAGAGAGAGAGAGAGAGAGAGAGAGGGGGGGGGGGGGGGGGGGGGGGGGGCAGAGGTGGACATGTTTAAAGAAACAAAACCAGGAGCTTTCATGAGACTTCAGTTTCCATGGTGACACTTATTGAAAACAATACCTGACTAAAAACACCAGGCCCCCAGTCACACAAACATGGAGACATTTTAAAATGTTAAAATCTCCCCCCCCCCCCCCCCCCCCCTCTCCCTTCCCCCCCCTCCCCTCTCCCTCTCCCCTCCCCTCTCCCTCTCCCCTCCCCTCTCCTCCTCCCCTCTCCCTCCCTCCCTCCCCTCTCTCCCTCCTCCCCCACGTCAGAGAAAGAGAGGAGGGTTGAACCAACGAGGCTAAATTAAGACCTGAATGGGAACCTGCAGTTGCATAAACACAGAAACTAGATCCTAAACAGAGAGAGAGAGGAGAGCCAGAGACCCAACCCTACAGCCAGACAGAGACCAATCACAGCCCCAACCCTACAGCCAGACAGAGACCAATCACAGCCCCAACCCTCCAGCCAGACAGAGACCAATCACAGCCCCAACCCTCCAGCCAGACAGAGACCCAACCCTACAGCCAGACAGAGACCCATCACAGCCCCAACCCTACAGCCAGACAGAGACCCAACCATACAGCCAGACAGAGACCAATCACAGCCCCAACCCTACAGCCAGACAGAGACCAATCACAGCCCCAACCCTCCAGCCAGACAGAGCCCCAACCCTCCAGCCAGACAGAGACCCAACCCTCCAGCCAGACAGAGACCCAACCCTCCAGCCAGACAGAGACCCAACCCTCCAGCCAGACAGAGACCCAACCCTCCAGCCAGACAGAGACCCAACCCTCCAGCCAGACAGAGACCCAACCCTACAGCCAGACAGAGACCCAACCCTACAGCCAGACAGAGACCAATCACAGCCCCAACCATACAGCCAGACAGAGACCAATCACAGCCCCAACCCTACAGCCAGACAGAGACCCATCACAGCCCCAACCCTCCAGCCAGACAGAGACCAATCACAGCCTCAACCCTACAGCCAGACAGAGACCCATCACAGCCCCAACCCTACAGCCAGACAGAGACCCAACCCTACAGCCAGACAGAGACCAATCACAGCCCCAACCCTACAGCCAGACAGAGACTCAACCCTACAGCCAGACAGAGACCAATCACAGCCCCAACCCTACAGCCAGACAGAGACCAATCACAGCCCCAACCCTACAGCCAGACAGAGACCAATCACAGCCCCAACCATACAGCCAGACAGAGACCAATCACAGCCCCAACCCTCCAGCCAGATAGAGCCCCAACCCTACAGCCAGACAGAGACCCATCACAGACCCAACCCTACAGCCAGACCCAACCCTACAGCCAGACCCAACCCTCCAGCCAGACAGAGACCCAACCCTCCAGCCAGACAGAGACCCACCTACAGCCAGACAGACCCAACCCTCCAGCCAGACAGAGACCCAACCCTACAGCCAGACAGAGACCCAACCCTACAGCCAGACAGAGACCCAACCCTCCAGCCAGACAGAACCCAACCCTACAGCCAGACCCAACCCTACAGCCAGACAGAGACCCAACCCTCCAGCCAGACAGAACCCAACCCTACAGCCAGACCCAACCCTACAGCCAGACAGAGACCCAACCCTCCAGCCAGACAGAACCCAACCCTACAGCCAGACCCAACCCTACAGCCAGACAGAGACCCAACCCTCCAGCCAGACAGAGACCCAACCCTCCAGCCAGACAGAGACCCAACCCTCCAGCCAGACAGAGACCCAACCCTACAGCCAGACCCAACCCTCCAGCCAGACTTTACCATCCAGTCAGACCCCCCCCTTCACTGTACAACCAGGATACTAGCAGGCCAAGCTCAGCCACTGACACCAGACAAGGCATCCATCCACATGTGGATACTAGCAGGCCAAGCTCAGCCACTGACACCAGACAAGGCATCCATCCACATGTGGATACTAGCAGGCCAAGCTCAGCCACTGACACCAGACAAGGCATCCATCCACATGTGGATACTAGCAGGCCAAGCTCAGCCACTGACACCAGACAAGGCATCCATCCACATGAGGATACTAGCAGGCCAAGCTCAGCCACTGACACCAGACAAGGCATCCATCCACATGTGGATACTAGCAGGCCAAGCTCAGCCACTGACACCAGACAAGGCATCCATCCACATGAGGATACTAGCAGGCCAAGCTCAGCCACTGACACCAGACAAGGCATCCATCCACATCTGGATACTAGCAGGCCAAGCTCAGCCACTGACACCAGACAAGGCATCCATCCACATGTGGATACTAGCAGGCCAAGCTCAGCCACTGACACCAGACAAGGCATCCATCCACATGTGGATACTAGCAGGCCAAGCTCAGCCACTGACACCAGACAAGGCATCATCCACATGTGGATACTAGCAGGCCAAGCTCAGCCACTGACACCAGACAAGGCATCCATCCACATGAGGATACTAGCAGGCCAAGCTCAGCCACTGACACCAGACAAGGCATCCATCCACATGTGGATACTAGCAGGCCAAGCTCAGCCACTGACACCAGACAAGGCATCCATCCACATGAGGATACTAGCAGGCCAAGCTCAGCCACTGACACCAGACAAGGCATCCATCCACATGTGGATACTAGCAGGCCAAGCTCAGCCACTGACACCAGACAAGGCATCCATCCACATGAGGATACTAGCAGGCCAAGCTCAGCCACTGACACCAGACAAGGCATCCATCCACATGTGGATACTAGCAGGCCAAGCTCAGCCACTGACACCAGACAAGGCATCCATCCACATGTGGATACTAGCAGGCCAAGCTCAGCCACTGACACCAGACAAGGCATCCATCCACATGAGGATACTAGCAGGCCAAGCTCAGCCACTGACACCAGACAAGGCATCCATCCACATGTGGATACTAGCAGGCCAAGCTCAGCCACTGACACCAGACAAGGCATCCATCCACATGTGGATACTAGCAGGCCAAGCTCAGCCACTGACACCAGACAAGGCATCCATCCACATGTGGATACTAGCAGGCCAAGCTCAGCCACTGACACCAGACAAGGCATCCATCCACATGTGGATACTAGCAGGCCAAGCTCAGCCACTGACACCAGACAAGGCATCCATCCACATGTGGATACTAGCAGGCCAAGCTCAGCCACTGACACCAGACAAGGCATCCATCCACATGAGGATACTAGCAGGCCAAGCTCAGCCACTGACACCAGATAAGGCATCCATCCACATGTCTATCTGATCAGGATATTCAGCGCCTTCAGAAAGTATTCATACCCCTTGACCTTTTCCACATCTTGTTGTTTCAGCCTGAATTCAAAATGGAGTAAATCGATTTTTCCCTCACCCATCTACACACAATACCCCATAATGACAAAGTGAAAATATGTTTTTAGACATTTTGGCAAATGTATTGAAAATGAAATACCAAAATATCGAATTTGCATAAGTATTCACACCCCTAATCAAAACCCTAAAAATGGAAAAAATAAATTATGTTAATATGATCAGAGTTGACAAATAAAGTCCAACAGCTGGTTTGAGTGCACATTTTGCCGTGATTACAGCTGTGAGTCTTTCTGGGTAAGTCTAAGCTTTCCACACCTGGATTAAACATTTGCCCATTATTATTTTCATAATTCTTCAAGCTCTGTCAAATTGGCTGTTGATCATTGCTAGACAGCTATTTCCAGGTCTTGCCATAGATTTTAAAGTAGATTTAAGTCAAAACTGTAACTGCCACTCAAGAATGTGGAAAAAGTCAAGGGATGTGAAGGTACTATATATGGTTTCATCACAAAATAAAGGCACATTTGTGTTTGGCTGTGCACCGTGTGTGTTCTGAGGGAGACCTAATGACAGTAACTGGACCTGGGACATTGTCATTCTGCAAGAGCGAGGGAGGTTATCACCTTACTGACAAGAGAGGGAGGGAGAGAGAGCGAGAGGGGGGAAGAGCAGGAGAAGAGTGATGAAAGAGAAGGGGGAGAGAGGAGAGAGACTGGGTGGGCATTCTCAGAATGAGGGAAGCGGTAGATCCCCCCCACTCCACTCCAGTAGTTTTATTAGACAGGGTTTTCAAGGGAACAAAGTCTGAGGAACAAGTTTGGCTTTTGAGTGCGCAATTTGGCCGCACTCTCTCTGTGGAGATGGGAGAACCTTCCAGAAGGACTCCTCCTCTACCTCCTCTAGTCAGTGTTTAATTTGAGCTGGATGAGTGCGCAATTTGGCCGCATTTGCAACAAAATATTTTGCTGTGAGACCTGGAGTTTTAATTTAGGAGCACCGGTACGGATCACCAGGAATAGTTTTGTTATGATTAAGCTTTGCTTTACCGCTGCCTCCGAGATCAGTCTTAATTCCTTTGCTGAGTCAAATCCAAGTCCAGATCTACTGCGCTGATTGGTTTGTTTTTATCCAACCTATATCAGTTGTATTACTTGTGAGGCACAGCTGAGTGAGCAGAAATTAAAATAATTTGCATTAAATTTTTATTTTACTGGACTGATGTCTGCATCTGATGGTCAGTTAACGCGTAGGGAGGGAGAGAGCAGCAGAGGGTCCGCCAGAAAGGGTCCGCCAGAGAGGGTCCGCCAGAGAGGGTCCCGCCAGAGAGGGTCCCGCCAGAGAGGGTCCGCCAGAGAGGGTCCCGCCAGAGAGGGTCCCGCCAGAGAGGGTCCGCCAGAGAGGGTCCCGCCAGAGAGGGTCCCGCCAGAGAGGGTCCCGCCAGAGAGGGTCCCGCCAGAGAGGGTCCGCCAGAGAGGGTCCCGCCAGAGAGGGTCCCGCCAGAGAGGGTCCCGCCAGAGAGGGTCCGCCAGAGAGGGTCCGCCAGAGAGGGTCCCGCCAGAGAGGGTCCGCCAGAGAGGGTCCCGCCAGAGAGGGTCACCGTATTATTTCTGCCTGACAAACAGATCAATAAACAAGATCGTGTCTTGAACGCAACCGTCTAATCCAGGCCTATGAGTCTAATCCAGGCCTATGAGTCTAATCCAGGCCTATAAAGTCTAATCCAGGCCTATGAATCTAATCCAGGCCGAAAATGGGAGGTGACCAAGAACTCGATGGTCACTCTGACAGAGCTCCAGAGTTCCTCTGTGGAGATGGGAGAACCTTCCAGAAGGACAACCATCTCTGCAGCATTCCACCAATCAGGCCTTTATGGTAGAGTGGCCAGACGGAAGCCACTCCTCAGTAAAAGGTACATGACAGCCCGCTTGGAGTTTGCCAAAACGCACCTAAAGGACTCTCAGACCATGAGAAATAAGATTCTCTGGTCTGATGAAACCAAGATTGAACTCTTTGGCCTGAATGCCAAGCGTCACGTCTGGAGGAAACCAGGCACCATCCCTACGGTGAAGCACGGTGGTGGCAGCATCATGCTGTGGGGATGTTTTTCAGTGGCAGGGACTGGGAGACTAGTCAGGATCAAGGGAAAGATGAACGGAGCAAAGTCCTGAGAGATCCTTGATGAAAACCTGCTCCAGAGCGCTCGGGACCTCAGACTGGGGCAAAGGTTCACCTTCCAACAGGACAACGACCCTAAGCACACAGGCAAGACAACACAGGAGTGGCTTCAGGACAAGTCTCTGAATGTCCTTGAGTGGCCCAGCCTGAGCCCGGACTTGAACCAGATCTAACATCTCTGGAGAGACCTGAAAATAGCTGTGCAGCGACGCTCCCCATCCAACCTGACAGAGCTTGAGAGGATCTGCAGAGAAGAATGGGAGAAACTCCCCAAATACAGGTGTGCCAAGCTTGTAGCGTCATACCCAAGAAGACTCGAGGCTGTAATCGCTGCCAAAGGTGCTTCAACAAAGTACTGAGTAAAGGGTCTGAATACTTATGTAAATGTGATTTCATGTTTTTGCTTTGTCATTAGATTGATGAGGGAAAAAACTAATATATTTTAGAATAAGGCTGAAACGTAACAAAATGTGGAAAAAGTGAAGGGGTCTGAATACTTTCCGAATGCACTGTAACCTCAGAAGTCCCCCCAGGCTCGGCGTCTCTCTCTCTCTACCTCTCCTGCATGCATGCACACAGTTGCACGCACAAACGCATGTCCCAGTCCTTTCATCCAGGCTGGCAAGGTTTGAGGCGTGTGTGTGTGTGTGTGTGTACCGTGTCACACCAGTCTGTGCTGAGGCTCATTAGGAACAGGAAGTCAACTGGCCCCTAATTACCCACCGGGACAGAGAGAGACGGATCCTCCCCAGTCACCCAGCCACAGGCAGACTCCTCCTCTACCTCCTCTACCCCTCTAGTCAGTGCTTAATTTGAGCTGGCACCTCTCAGATATGGTTTTGTTCGTTCCGGCACCAACGGAACTTCTCGTTGTATTAATTCTTTCACTGTTCGCAGTGTAAACATTCTAATAAAAGCGGTCAAAATTAAATCAAGTTACCTCCTCGTCATTTCTCCCACCCCCCAGAAAAACCGTCAGGTAAAAGCGCTGTGATCCTTCTGTGTAATCATCCTATCTTGCCACACTGATTCCAGACCTGCTCCCTTTGGAGGTTATAGGGAAGTAACTGGTACTGGTGGTCAGCTAGTGAAGAGGTCCCTACGTAATCTCTTCACGTTGCTAGGCTAGTCTCACTACTGAATTTGAAACGTGGGAAAGCCAAATAAAAAAATGGATAAGAAAAGGCAATCAAGTTTGATGTCGTTTTTCAAGTCCAAAAATCCAGAGAAAGATGGTGAATCGAACCCAGAACGAGCCAGAGGAGAACACGACATTGCTGGAGAGCCTGGGGGAACTTCTGAGTTGAGAATGACACAAATACTAATTTTCACAAAGTCTGCTGCCTCAGTTATGATGATGGCAGTTTGCATATACTCCAGAATGTCATGAAGAGTGATCAGATTAATTGCAATTAATTGCAAAGTTCCTATTTGCCTTGAAAATGAACTTAATCCCCCAAAAACATTTCCACTGCATTTCAGCCCTGCCACAAAAGGACCAGCTGCCATCATGTCAGTGATTCTCTCGTTAACACAGGTGAGAGTGTTGACGAGGACAAGGCTGGAGATCACTCTGTCATGTTGATTGAGTTAGAATAACAGACTGGAAGCTTTAAAAGGAGGGTGGTGCTTGAAATCATTGTTCTTCCTCTGTTAACCATGGTTACCTGCAAGGAAACACGTGCCGTCATCATTGCTTTGCACAAAAAGGTCTTCACAGGCAAGGATATTGCTGCTAGTAAGATTGCACCTAAATCAACCATTTATCAGATCATCAAGAACTTCAAGGAGAGAGGTTCAATTGTTGTGAAGAAGGCGTCAGGGCGCCCAAGAAAGTCCAGCAAGCGCCAGGACCGTCTCCTAAAGTTGATTCAGCTGTGGGATCGGGGCACCACCAGTGCAGAGCTTGCTCAGGAATGGCAGC